CTCACACCATATCCCCTCACCCTTGGTGCATTACGGCATCTCTTTTTTACCCCCAGGGGCTCCCAGAAAGACTACAGAAAGGACACCACTGTGGGCACAAAGGTCAACTGTTGGTTTGTCCACAACAATGGTCAGGGGCTGATTGATGGAGTCCACACTGACTACATAGTCTCCAGCCTGTTCTGAGGAAACATGTCAGCTTCTTCTGAGATGGAGGGTGCAAAGCATCTGGAACAGGCACAGAATGAGGTCTTTGGGAGCAGTGGAGACAATAAAGCTATGTGAGAGCCAGACACTCCTTGCCTTTGCATGCCTTCATGGGTCCCTGCTCCCAGAAACACACAGCTGAATCAAGCAGCTCAAGGAAGGGATGGCTATTGGGGGCAGCATCCTGGGGCTCTCAGTTGGCAGAGCTGAGGCAGGATTGGTTGAGCTGGTACTACTTGGGGCAGCAATCAAAAGGACGATATGGGAAGGAAAAATCAAGAGTAGGCTCTGGTGCAAGTGGGCTTTGAGAAGTCAAGATTGAGTACATTTCAGGGCCCAGGAATGTCGTAGGAAGATTCAGTGGTTGTGGCTGAGGAGCTCCTGTTAGGACCTTGAGAAGGAGGAAGTGCTCCAGGACAGACTTATGCCACATCGAAGTGGAGATGTCACCCATTCCCCATTTTGTCTGCCTGTGTCAGCCTTCTGTCACTGTGCAAGATACCTAAGATAATCAACTCAAAGGTGGAGATTTATTTTGGCCACAAGTTTCAGAGGGTTCAGTCCATGGTGCTTCGCTCCATCACCTTGGGCATGTGGAGGTACAAGTGCATCATGGTAGGAGTATATAGTAGAGGTCTGTTCACTTTATGGTGGTCTAGTGAGCAAAGAGTGCCTGGAAGGCATCAAGATCCCAAGAACCCCTTCAAGAGCATGCTGCCCACTGGTCTAACTTCCTTCTACTAGGCCCTACCTTCTAAAGGTCCCATAATCTCCCATGAGTGCCATAGGCTGGCAACCAAGACTTTAACACAAGGGCCTTCCAGGGACATTTAGACCCAAATTAAAGCACTACCCATCTATCCACCTTCCACCCACGTATTCAGTCACTCCACTAGCCATCCATCCCTACCACTCACCAACCCATCTACCCATCCTTCCTATACTTGTCCGTCTGTACACCCACAGTCCACCCCATTGATTCAGCAGACTCAATACCCTGGGCCAGTTCATAGGGTATTTAGTAATCCAATTTCTGTTTCCATGGTTGCTCAAGTTTATCCTCAGGTGGGCAGGCCTCCCCGAGATCCTCTGATCACCTCATAATAATCACTTGTTTTTCTCCTAGTCCATCTGGGGGTGGTGAGTGAGGCAGGAGTTCCTGGGGAAGGGCTCTAAGCGACCCCCAGGCTAGACAATGCTCTCTCCCTTGGCCAACAGCAGCTGTCCTTTCTAAGTCTCTATGCTTCCCATGGCCTCCTGAAGAGCTACTCAAAGATTAGCACTCCGTCTGACTTCCTAGACTTCGCATCACCCATCCATTGCTCTTGAGACCAAGACAAAAGTCCTTCCTCTGGAGCATCCAGCTTCCCCTCACTTTCTGAATTCTAGGCTCCCAGGCTGCTTCTAGCTAGCTGAGCAAACAACCCATCCTGCCTCGGAGCCTTTGTCTCTGAAGCTCCGTCTGCTTGGGGCCCTAGTTAGAAGCAGTGGGTGATCTGCTGGATGGCAGAGCAGGGGGCATAATAAGGCTGGAGGAGTATGGACTCAAGCTGGGTAAACCTGAATGCCAGTATGTGGTGACACGTGGGTGTGGCCAGAGAGCTGTCCCATTTCTCACTCCACACCCCATGGCTGGAGCCAGTACTAACATTTTCCAAGGCCTAGGTGTCTAGAGAGGGGCTTGAGGGAAGGGAAGGTGACCCTTTAGGTAGATGTGGGACACTGCCGGCAGGCTGGTGGCAGTTATTGTTCTAGGTGGAAGGCACATGAGATATGACTCCCTACATGAAGACCTCTCCACAGACCTGGGAGGAGTGTAACAGAGGTCTGGGTTGGGTTGGCCAGAAGGGCCTAGGCCTGTGAAGGGATCCTAGAGCGGGCAGAGCCTGCTGTTGCGTTCAGTCCCAGAGGGCTGCGGAGCCACGTGCCGGAAGCCAGTTGGCATGAGTGTTCACATCTAGGCAACAGAAGAGCTAGCCCAGCACATGGAGAGTGCTAAGAAATCCTCATGTGGTTCTGGCTTCTCCTCAGGTGCCCAGCTATACCCTGTTGCTCCCACTAGCAGCTGAGCTGAAGCAGCAGGGAGGAAAGGCAGGAAGGTTCCCAGCCCAAATCCTGCTCCCTGTGCCGGCAGGGAGCCTGCCATACAGGCAAGGATGAGGCAGATTCTCCCAGACCCACACCATCTAGCTCTGCCTGTTCCTGCCTACAGCCCGGCTTTCAGGACAGAGGCCAAGCTCATGGTGAGGCACACAGCCCGAGCTGGCCTGGTCCCTCCTCCCCTTTCACCTCCTCTGTGCACCTATATCCTTCCCCTTCTGGCATCTTGGCTTTGGGTCTAGGCACATGCAGTTCTTCCTGATATCTCTGCCTTACTTTCATCCTGGGCTAACTTCTTGTCCCCCTTCGAAACTCACCCTCAACACTGCCACACCCAGGAAGTTTCCCTGGTATCCCTAGGTGGGCAAGTCTCTCCAGGCTCCGGCAGCACCTCATCCCTTGCTGGGTAGCAGCTGTCACAGTGGCATTGTGCCCATCATTGGGCCCAGAAGGCACAGGACCTAGCCCAAGTAGGTGCTTGGAAGCATCCACTAGATAAAAGGAGGAAAGGGTCCAGACCTACTCTCACCTGGTCACAGTTCCTGTCCTACAGGGGCTGGCAGGGCCACATCTACCGTGACTCTTCTGCCGCTGACCAATTCCACAGCCCGACGGGATGGTCATGCTCCATCGGGGTGCGCGGGCTGGGCCCCCTTCTCTTATCCCTGTAGGTCTCATTACCCGACAGCAAATTCCCCATGGCCCAGGCTGCCCCCTTCTCTCCGTCTCTGGGCTAAGCCCTCTGAGTAGGAGCTGCAGTCTGAGACTCCACCTGCCAACCAAGGACATGAGAGGAAGTGCCAGCCACGCAGGGAGTTTCTCAGTGTTAGACAAGGCTGCCGCTCCGGATCCCTCCCACAAGCCTGTCCTCTGCCCCTCTGCCCCTCCCTGACTCATTCAGCAAACATCCTCCCTAGTTTAAGAGCTAGAAAATAAAAGGTCCTCTGATGACCTAGTCTGTCTTCTCTTAGCCAGCAAGTGAGTTCATTTCCTACTTTACCCTGGCTGCCCGGAAGCTCAGAGGAAAGGTAGGAGCCAATCATGGCCAGTTTCCCCTACCCAGGTGTCTCTTATTACTTCCTTCCTTCTTGGCTCTTTTATTCTCATACTCACGTTTTTTTGTTTTATTCTCTTTATGCTATTTCTTTGTAAATCACAGATCATTCGCCTCCTCTTTATAGAAGTAGGTGGAGCCCAGCCATCGCTTGATGTCCACAGTGGATTGGTTGGGTGAACCCTGTGGACACCAGCATCTGTGGATGCTCAAGTCCTCTGGCCTCCAACTGGCTATTTTCCTTCTTCTGAGCAGCTGAGATCACAGGCATTTGCCACCACATCTTTTAAACCATCTCTAGACTATTTATAATAATTAATACAGTGTAAATGGCATGAGCTCCTACCACTTGGGGGACTAAGGCAGGAGGATCATGAGTTTGGGACCAGCCTAGGCTACAGAGGAGACTTTCTCAAAAATATCTACACATATTCAGATTCAGTTTCTTTGACAAATTTCCTTCTGTGATTGGTTGGATCTACAAATGTGAACCTATAAACACAAAGGACCAACTACAACAATAAACATGTTTTGGGTGGTACTGGTGATCAAACCCAGGGCCGCTCTACCACTAAGCTATGCCCTTAGTCTTTTGTAGTTTCTAAGACAGGATAAGGCTTGGCTCAAACTCGCAATCCTCTTGCCTCAGCCTCCCAAAGTTCTGGGATTACAGATGTGTACCATTATGCCTGGCTAACACATTTTCAAAGCAGGCTTTTCCTGGAGACAATGGGTGGAATCTTTGGGGTGGCTGACCAAGGGGCATGAACAGGATGGGAACCCTCAACAGTATAGATTTACAGTTGAGGGTCCCGACTACCCCATCCAAAGAGAGGCTTCTGGGTTCAGGACCCGGATCACTCCTCACTCTTCTGTTTTTAGTCTGTCTCCCACTTCTTTACCAGGCAGTGAGCAGACTGCCCCACTCCTGGGCCCAAGTGTGAAAATCAAATTGTGTAAGACAAATCCTATTGCAAAGTACCCCCGAAGTCACTCTGGGTGTTGGCCTATAAAGAACAAACCAGCTCACTTCACTCCAGTCAAAACTAGTTTTCAGGGCTGGTGAGATGGCTCAGTGGTCTAAAGCACCTACTTAGAACAAGCTAAGCTAAGCAAAGCGCAGGGACCATGGTTCAATCCCCCAGCACCACATGCCAGCCAGCCCCGCCCCCTGGTGGGCTGAGCTGGCCACACACACACACACACACACACACACACACACACAATAAATAAATAGATAGATAGATAGATAGATAGATAAATAGATAAAATTAAAAAAAAAAAAAAAAAAGAAAAAAGAAAGGAACTCAGGTCTCCAGAAGCCTGCTGTGCTTTAAAAAAAAAAAAAAATAGCTTTCAGAGACCAGGTGTCCAAGGGGCAGCCAGGACCTCTGCTCCAGGGGACAGTCACCAGCCCTGCGCCCCTGCCTAGCAGGAAGTAAACATTTCACACAGGTGGCTTAGTTCTATTTTCCTCATCTGCAAAGCAGAGGGACAAGGCCGAGAGCACGCATAGGCCTGGCTGGCCAACAGCCCTTGACAGTCACAGTGGAAGAGTCTAATGTTTCATGACGCTGAGTGTCCAAGATGGATTCGGAGGCCTTGGGATTTGAAGGTGAAATCAGAGACACCTACTTCCTAGGCTCACACCGTTTTTCTTTATTTGTAACAAGGGGGAACCCTCCTTCCCATTGTGGTCCAGGCCCCACAGGTGACCCTGCGGCCACAAGGTGGCAGGCTGAGGTACAGGCTCCTCTTATCTGAACTACAACTCCACCGACCAGCAGGAAATCTCCTTCCCTTTTTGGTAATCAAATTTGAGTTCTCTGGAACACATAGATGACAGGTAGACAGGTGGTCAGGGGTGGTGGAACAGGAGTATGGAAAGCGGGGAGTCCCCAGGCCCTTTAGCCCAGGTCAAGAATGCCTGACTAGCCAAGGGGTTGCCAAGGGCACCTAGGGCCTGGGGCTCTGAGAGTTGGGACAAGGACAAGAGTTTCCTAGCAATGTTGAGGCTGTGCTTTCTGTGGGGCTGAGCTGACCATCCTGTGTGGGGCCATCAAGAACAAGCTCAGACTCATGTCTGGTACCAACCTTCCTTTCACCAGTTTCTACTTGCTGAGCAAGGACAGAAGGAATAGGGTTCTGCATGGCCCAGCTTCCAACCCCGCGCCCATCCTGCCCCAGCCACGCTCAGCAGCTACAGGTGCAGAGTCACCTGGTGGCAGAGTAGTCCTTCCCCTGAACCCTCAGCACACGTCTGCTGTCATCTGCAGCTTCTGCTGGCTCCCAGACCACATCCCGGTAAAACTGGCCTGCAAAGGGTGGATGAGTGAGTGGGAAGACAGAGCACGTGGGGGACATGCAAGGGGAGGGCACCACCTGTTCCTCAGCAGAGGTGGGCCCTGAGGATGCTGGGCCGCGGGCAGAGTACCGAGGGTCCCGTTGACGCGGCTGGAGAAGCGGTCAGTGTCACGCAGGAAGAGCAGGAGTCCCTTCTCAGGGCCATTGTGAGACAGGCTGATGGTTACTTTGTCTGGGCCACTGAACAGCAGGAGCCCCTTCTCGTCCATGGTCACCTTCATGCTGTGGAGAAACCCAGTGGCCTGAGCGAAGGGCAGAGACACCTGGATGGCCGCATGGGGGTCACAGTGTGGCCTTGGGCTGGGGTCCCTGGGTCTGCAGGACCTCCATTTCCTTGCTGGCAAAACAGGGCCAACACGGGCTTCATGCCATCCAATTTCCCTGGCATTACTTATACAATAAAATAATGATTTCTTTTCCTCTGCTTTTCTTAAATTTGATTTTCTTGAGTTAGTTATATATGATTTAGGGCATTTCTCTGATACACCTATTCTGTCTCCTCCTTTTAAAAGCTGGTGCCACTTTCCTTTGGTTGGGGTTTAAGTGTGCATTTCAGTGAGCTAAGTGTCTTTTTCTTTTTTCTTTTTTTGTTTTTTTTGTGCCAGGGATCGAATTCAGGACCCTGCCAGGCAGGCACTTATGTCACTGAGCCCTCTCCCTGCCCCAGTGTCTTCTCATTCTACCCCCTTCTTTTTTACTTACCACCTTTCAAAGTCCTACTCCTTTGGAGTGCAAGACTGCTGTTATTCTGAGATTATAAATGAAATTCTGAGATTTTAAATGAAATTGTCTAGCCTATGGTTAGCTTTGCTAGCTTTTCCTCCCTCTCTCCCTTCCTCTTTCTCTTCCTCTTTCTCTTCATCTTTTCTCTTTTCTCTTTTCTTTCCTTCCCCTCTTCCTTTTTCTATGTTGCCGAGGATTGAATCCAGGACCTTCACACTGAGCTGCACCTCCAGTTCTTGGGTCCTAAATTCAATCCCCGGTTCCACACACACAAAAAATTGTTTTCATTTTAAGACAAGGTCTTACTAAATCATTGTTGCCTAAACTTCTCTTGAATGTGTGAACTTCCTGCCTCAGCCTCCAGAGTGCTGGGATTATACACACTCCACATCCACTGGTCTATTTTTCTTCTCATTTTTTTCCTCTTCTCTCTTCTCTTTCTCTTCTGTTCTTTTCATTCCTTTTTTTTTTTTTTTTTCAGTGCTGGTAATTGAGCCCAGGACCTTTGCACTGAGCTACATCTCTAGTCCTCTTTACTTTTTTTTTTTCATTTTGAGACAGGATCCTCACTAAGTTGCTAAGTTGCCCAGACCGGACTCAAACTTCAGCCTTCCAGAATGCTAGAACTAGAGGCATTCGGGGTTTTTTGTTTTTGTTTTTGTGTGTGTATTTTAGGGAAGGATCTACAGGGTGTTCAGGGTCTCACTACTAGATCAGACTCTAGTGATCTACCTGTTTACAGCTCCCACCAGCTGGGATTACAGGCTCATGCCACCAAACCCAGTCTCAATTGCCATCTCAGTGTGCCCTAGGAGTGGGGCCGGCATGGCAGTCCTGGGGATTGAACCCCTGGCCCCTGCGCCTGCTTGCAGGTACTTTAATCCTCTGAGCTATTTGGCTGGCCCTTGTTTTATTTTTATTTTTATTTATTTATTTATTTTTAACATGTATCTTCTACAGCTCATGAAATTATTTGGATTTTCCATTAACATAATGAATAGAAAATTTTCATTTCTTGGCATGTATGTCTAAGGCACAGAAATGTTACTGATATTTGGGCATCTATTGGATAACAAAAAATCCTAAGGTCTTTTATGAAATTGGGGGGCGGTTCAGACAAATCCTTCAGATTTCGTGGGTGTGTGTTCGTTTGTCAAGTGGAGACAAGGCCCAGCTGAGTGGCTCATAAGTTCTCTACACTAGGAAAAGACAAACTACGACACAGGCCAGAGGCACAGAGGTATGGCCTGTGGAAGGGTCTCTGGCTCCTCATAACTTCCAGAGCTAGAGGACTGCCCCTGGAAAGTCTGTCATAGGGCAGCCATGCCTCTTGGGAGACACCATCTACCTCCATTACCCACCAGCTGCCAAGTATGACCCCAGTGGGACTCGACTCTCAGCAGAGCCTCAAGGTATGCTAAAGGTAGTGCTCACATCTTCTGGGGCCAGAGCGCTCTGGTTCTCATGACTGCCATCAAGACCTCACCATGCAGGCGGTGCCCGGTATGTTAGGTCCAGGGGACAAATGCTCCCTGAGAGCCTCCTCCCATTGGGTCCTCTGACCCCTCTGACTCAGGGCTAGGATGACCATCTCTAGGCATCAAAGAGGAAACTGAGGCCAGAGGAGCTAAGTGATCAGCACTGGCTCACACAGGATTAGCTGCAGAGCTAGCTCTAGTCCACACTGTTGCGTGTGTGGGACAGTGACATGGATGTGTTGTCAGAAAAGCCAGGTCCCCAGCACAACTCCCTAGCATTTCCAGAGTCCGCTTCACCCCAGGTCTGTGTTCTCTGCCCCACCACCAGCCAGTATGGCTGAGAGGCCATCAGCTTGGTACCCCAGCATGGGTCATACCCAGGCAACACCAAGTACAGGGTCTCCTTCCACGCATACGCAGAGCTTCTTCGGTTCCGGACCACCACCACACGTTCGGGCAACACATGAACCTGGAGCTGGGGGTTCTTAAAGATCACATCGATCCAGCAGAACCCAGCCTTGTCTGCGTTGTACTGGCCCGAAACCTCAAGCCCTGAGAAAGCCAAACCAGGGGTCACAGCCAGGAAGGGCACTGCCCTGAACAGGGAGCTCTCTTCGCAGAAGAGTGCTTCACAAATTAGCGTCCTTGGAGGCGCACTTCACACTCAGGCCAGCCCCTACTCCCTCCTGGGATTCACATGGCTTTGGAGGGACCCTTGGTTCCTCAGTGAGACCCTCCAGCAGTGGGGCTGCTGAGAGGTGAAGTCTTGTTGCGCATCGCTAACCTTCACCAAGCACCGGCAGTGTGCATGGCTTTGAGCTAGCCGCCTGGCCAAGGGTGAGATGGGAAATCCCTGAGGACAGGGAGCATGCAGCCAACTAGGTCCGAGCACTGTGGCAGGAGACCATGTGATCCTGGGAGGAGCGAGGGAGTCAAGGCTGTCCCTTAGCTCTCTTAGCTTTATTTGTGCATCTCTGAGTGCTGTGTGTCCCCAAGTCTGCCTTGACACTTCATCTTGGCCACTGAGGCCCTCCCAGCGTTATGGGGTGGGGTCAGACCAATAGACCTCACCCCCCCATGTCACAGGGCCCCATGGAGAGGTGGGGTGGTTCTGCACTCTGCAGGTTCTGCTTTCTCCATGTGGAAGAGCCTTAACCTTTCCTCCGCTGTCTGCCAAGGCCTGGCCACTCTTGGGTGACCTGCGTAGCAACTCGAGCCTCAGGTAGCTCTGGCCCCTCAGCCCTGACCACAATGAACCCAGCCCCCAGACCTGCTTAGGATGTCTGGTGAGGCCTATAGGTGCTGTGGGGTGCAGGACATCGATGTGTCCCCATGCAAATGGTGGATGGGTGTGAGTGGGTATGAGGTTCTCCCTGGGTGGGTGGCTGGGTGTGTAACCTCTCACCTTGGTCAGGGTCCAAAAGCAGGTCCATGGGGCCCTGAGATTGTCTCATGTCCACACAGACTGGGTCCGCGATGGGCTCAGGCAGCAGCAGGATGACGGCAGGATGCTGGACAGAAGCTAGGACAGCCACACACAGTTCCTGGAGCAGACGGAGAAGTCTAGGGGGCAGGGGTGGGTAGGGGTGCTGGGAAGGCTGGCCACTTACCTGGAGCTGGGGCTTTTGTAGGTAGTACTAAAAGAAGAGAAAGGAGAGGTCTAGTCAGGCAGCCCCTTCCTGGGGACCTTCAAGGGATGATGCCATGGAAGGTGCAGTTGGGGCTCCCCCTCTACTTCAACACGGAGAAGCCCATGTGACAGACTCCCAGAGACTGTGGGGCCCCCAGTGAGGACAAGAAGCCACTCTGGGGCTCTGGTGTGGGGTGTACCTTTGGCATTTATTTTGACACGATGCAACAATCCTGGATCTGGTTCTGAGAGAATAAAATGCCTCATAGAAGGTGCGTCTGCAGGAACATTCAGAAATAGAAAGGGAGGTGGCATCAGGGCGCAGAGCAATCCACACATCCTCTGGGCACCCCTGCCACTGTGCCCACCAAGTGCTGGCACACTTCTCCCCTGGAGGAAGGACTGGAAGGAGAGATGTGGAGGAGATGGGTCCAAGTCTGCTCTGAGGTGCATCTGGGTTCAGACTTTAGGAACAGAAACAGTGCAGGGGCACTGCTGGCACTGGCATGGAGGAGCCGTTCCCCTCTATGAGACTCCAGGGTAAGGGGTGAATCCTATCCAGGAAAAGCAGCCCTGTCTTGGGGAAGGGATGCCTGATGTCTCTGAGCTGGTGGGGAGAGAGGTGCTTGAGGAGGGGCAGTGATGTCCAAAGAGCCCGCACAGAAGCCCTCCTGGTTAGCCCTGCCCTCCTGGGACCCAGGGTTCCCCCCGACCAAGCAGTGGGGAGAGGCTGTGTTCAGGCTTGTGGTCTGACCACCCAGGGAAGGCAGGAAGAGTCATTATACATACTCAAGAAGGTGAAATGAAGACAAGGTAAAGGGGTGGCTGGGCAAGGGGGGCATGGGCAAGGGCAGCCCTTCCTCCCCTTTGAGAGGAGCTGGCAGGTCCAGCCCAGGCCCACTGGACGTCGTGTCCCATGAGCTCTCCCTGACTGGCTCTGCTTGGTGCTTTCTCTCACCCTAGAGCAGGTTCAGTGGCCATGGTAGGGAACAGAGGCCCTGCAAGGGTCAGAAAGTGGCTTACGGGGCTGGAGAGATGGCTCAGTGGTCTAAAGCACCTACTTGAAACAAGCTTGGCAAAGCACATGGACCTCGGTTCGATCCCCCAGCACCACATGCCAGCCAGCCCCGCCCCCTGGTGGGCTGAGCTGGCCACACACACACACACACACACACACACACACACACAATAAATAAATGTAATAAATAAAAAAATAAATAAATATTTTTTTAGAAAAGCAAATTATTAAAAAAAAAAAAAAAAAAGAAAGTGGCTTACACTGGTCCATGGCTGTTGGTATTTCTGAGGTCTGATGCGGGAAGGAAGGAGGAAGAAGAGGTCCAGGTCTTCCCTGCAGCAAGTCAGGAGGTCCAGGCTGTCCATGTCTCTGAGCGGCACCAACAGGTGCAGCTCCTGAAACTGTAGAGAAGTTCGAAGCTCCGAGTTTCAAAAATGAATTTGCAGTCTTTTCTCTGGCAGTGTTAGGGTTCCCAGAAGTAGAGTTCAGGGACCCTGTGCCAGGAGGCGGATGTGGGCTCCACCTCCCCAATACTCTACTTAGCCATTCTGTGCAGCTCCACCGCCCACCTCAGCCTGGGAGACAATCATGGACTCTTGCCCCCGGGGCGGAAGACCCCTGTCCCCAGGCAGTGCCCTTCATGTTACCTAGCCCAAGGAATCGTCTTCTCAGGCAACGAAGCTTCTGCATAGCTGCTTCCCAAGCAGACACTATCACCAGCCAGCTAAGCTGGGTACAGTGCTCTGCATCCTCAGCGAGGGTCACAGTCTACGGCTGGGATTACGGTTCTGTCACTACCCCACCCTCTACTCCCTCCTCATTTGTCACCTGGTGTTCTAGACCATCCTTTTGACTTGGAACGAAATTTGGAGCCGTGACCTGAAAGGCAGTGAGATTTGGGTTTACTCCTAGGACCCATCTTTCTTGGGCCCCAGGTGGAGAGGGACTGTGTCCCTAGTGCCCAGAACAGGCCCTGGGAGGCAGCCAGGAGTTCAGTGAACCAGTGACTAAAGACACTAGTGTGTGTGGTCAGACACCACGACCTCCTGCCACTAGGGTGGGGCCAGCCTTTGAGCACATAGGTCCTTACCTCCTATGTGGAAATGCCTCCGTCTATTATCTGCATAAAACACATAAACACAGACAAAGGAACAGGGAGAGAAGAAAGTGGGCATCGTCAGGGCAGCTGTGATCAAGTCAAAGTGCTTATGCATTAACTTGCTTCCCAAATCCAGAATTACATTGAGATAGTTGCACTGTAAGAGCCAGGAGGCCCGTCCTCAGTTTCCTCATCAGAGCCGTCCCAGGCCCCTGGGAGTCTGTGGATGGCAGGATGGGGACTTGCAGGGAGGGAAGGAAGGAGGGGTGAGCTGAAGGTCTGCTGCCGAAGAGCCGGAGATGCCAGCTTGCCACTCACCGTCCTCCACGGGCTTGTTCGCAACTGAAGACTGTTCCTGGCCTTCAGGTTTGGTGACCACCATAGATGTGAGGGGAGTGACGAAGTTGTAGTTCAGTGACAGATTCAGAGCTCGGTTCTTGAGGGCCTCAGACTCGACCTCTGATGCGGAGACACTGTTGAGGTTGAGGATGGCAGAACTCAGGAGGTGCTTGGACCCCTGGACCATGTGCCACCCCCACAGGGCCCCTCTTGGGAAATCCCCATGGGAGAATGTGGAGCTCAGACATAGATGCCTCTCTGCAGCTGGGAGCTGCCCTGTGTCAGCTGCGCCTGCCCCAGGGAAAAAGCTGAGCAGTGCTGGCGCTGTGTGCCACATGCCCCAGGAGTCCGCGAGGCCAGGGCCACTCACAAATTCTCCAGCAGCTGCTGGATGGTCAGGTATGCCCAGAGCCTCTCCATGAAATTGTGGAAGATGTACTTGGGCGTCTGGAACAACTCCTTCTGCTCAGCCGTGCTGGACTCTACCTGGAACGTGATGTTCTGCGTATCCTGGACAGAGGGGGCCCACGCAGGGCAAGAGCAGTGAGGGCATGTTAGCGTCCACGCTGAGCCCCAAGCTCTCCTGTGATAACCCAGATGGGGGTTGGCCTTGACCCCGAGGCTTCATCTCCCTGGTAGAGTGGGTGTAGGAAAGGAATTTAAAATTTTAAAAAATCACGTAATTAATTTTTTTGTTTGGTATAGGGTCTCACTATGCAGCTCAGACTTGTAGTGATCCTCCTGTCTCAGCCAGTACTGGGATTATAGGTGTGGGCCACCATGCCCAGTTTCAGTGGCCAGCATGGTGCACCCAAGGTTCTGGGGCCAGCACAGCATGTGGTACCAGGGATTGAATCTGGGTCCTTGTGCTTGCCAGGCAGTTGCTTAGACCACTGAGAACAGAACTCACTTGTCATGGCCCTACACCGGGGCTCCACTCAGCCTGACAGGCTGTCCACTGCCCAAAGTGACCCTCTGCTGGGGCTGACCACTGTGGGATGACGACAGGGCAGCAAATGGCAAGCTCTCAGAAACTTACTACTCTCTTCCCGAGGGAGAGGCCTGTGAGCCTGGGGCCTCGACAGCAGTTTAGAAACAGGGCCTGAGGGGTGAAGGACCCCAGGCCACTCCCTTAGTTGAGCCCCTCGCAGCCCCTTACTAGGGTCCTCTCCCACCCACCCAACTGGTAGCAGCCTCTTCTGAGTCTGGCCAGGCCTGGCCTCCCAGTGTTTTGGCAAATGCAGGCCACCTGCATGGACTTTGTCCTATCTGCACAAACAGCGATTTATTTGACCCTCATTCTTTTTTAGTTCTGGGGTTTGAGTCAAGGGCTTCTGCACTGAGCTATGTCTCTGGTCATTTCTTTAGTTTAAGAGATGGCCTCACTAAGCCCCCCAGTTGCCTAAGTGGGGCTTAAACTTGTGACCCTCCTGCCTCTGGCTGACGTTTTTCATAAATGAGCTTTTAAATAGACTAACACTTTTTAGTTGGCCTTATCCCAAGCAATAATATCTATGAAACAGGAAGTCTGACGTGTGAGTCATAATTTTCAGAATACACATAAAAATAAACATGCAACTACTAGAACAAGCACACCTCTGTCTGTGAACTACCTTGAGCTACCTTGGGTTCTTTCTGCATGTTTTTTTGCTTTATTGCTTTGAGACAGGGCCTTGCTATTTAGTTCAGGCTGGCCTTGAATTCACTTTGTATCCCAGGCAGGCCTTGAATTCAGATTCTGCTGCCTCAGCCTCCCAAGGGCTGGGACGGCAGGCGTGTGTTACCACACCTGGCTTGGGTTCGACATTGTGGGGATCCCCTGGCTCCCAGGCTAATATCAGATGCTAAAGGGTAGGGAGTGTTTATTATGCGGGGCGACATGGATTACAGTGACTTTAGGAAGTGGGCATCATTTGTACATACTGAGAAACTGAGGCACAGGAGGCTGGGCAACTTCCTCCCCAGTTCTCACCTCTGAGAGGTAGCAAAGCCAGGTTTGAAATGAGGCGGGTTGGCCACACAGTCTGCACCTATTGGCTGCTTTTGAGCTGAGGCCCTCGCCACCTGCCAGTGCCACTGCAGACACGCTGCCCTCCTTCGATACAAGCCAGGAGCATCCCTCCATGCCACTGGCGCTCTACCCACCTCCTGCCTATCCCTCAGTCTCAGTCTCCTCCAGGAAGCCCTCCCTGATCCTCCCAGGCTGGGGCTCCTGGCACTGCTTCGGGAGTCCCTGGGTGTGTTCTGCCAGCCTGTAGCTATGTGTGATGATGCAGTCACAGCTGTCCCTCCCCAGAGGGCAGGGAGGGGTTGGCTAAGCTCACTGAGGAACACTCAAGGCCTAAAGAAGGGCCTGGCATGGCGCAGGGACCCTGCCTCTCCATAAAATGACAGGAACATTCTGAGACAGACAGAGGCAGAAAAGCCAGGCCAGGAGACACGGTGGGCTGGGCCCAGGTGCAGTGCCACTTAGGGCAAGTTTTCTGCCCAGCCCGGTGAGCTCCACTGCTCCTCTGTGAGATGGGAGGCCAACTAACTTCAAGGAGCTGGAAGGAGACAGGAAGTGCTAGCAGCTAGGAAGGAGCCTCTGGTCACTTCGTGCTCACAGGAATGGGGAGGAGGCACAGCGCAGACTGAACGCTGAGTGCTTCATGCGCCAGGCATGCCACAGGTGCTACTTGTGATGTCTCCCTGCATCTCCATGATGAACCCATGCACAGAGCCTGGTGTCATCCAAAGGTGGGGTGGCGGAGGGCACACCTGAGGCCAGCTGCACTTCGAGACTCGCTCAAGGCCAATCAGCTAGAGCTTGGAAAGGCTAGGATTTGAACTCGGTCCCTCCACTGCACGTGGAACCTCTTGCCTCTTTCCCTCCCAGGTGATGTGGCCGCACTCACCATCTGTCCACGGACTCTGGCCAAGAGCACGTCAGGGCTCTGGTCCCGGAGCTTCCCAGCCACCACCATCTCTGAGCCCTTGAAGTGGTGGCGGAAGTTGTCCCGCGTGACCTCCTCCACAGCATTGCTTGAATACTCAAAGGCCACGTCTCTCAGCAGTGGATTGGCTACCTCTTGGTAGAAGTCCTGCAGGGTATGGTGGAGGCGGGGGTGTCACGAAGGCCAGGCTGGGGCTTCCTGGCCCTCTGCAGCCCAGCTGGGGGACAATGGCACCTGGAGCTGCAGGGCAGAGTCCGAGTCCTCGTAGATGCGTCGAGCTAGCCCACCATTGTCCAGAGCCATCTTCTCCAGGAACGCATAGCTGACATCAAAGCCAAAGCCGAGGCAGAAGAGGCTATACTGGTTGTTTATGGCTTCCTTCACGTTCTTCTGGATATGTTTAGGATTGGTCTCCCCTGGACCAGTGAGTTTGGGAAAAGATTAAGAAAAGAGCTCACTACATGTCTCTGGAACCTCAGAGCCAGAAGAGTCTAAGCGACACCCCTTCTGCACAGGCCCCCCAGCAAGCTTGGGTGCAGCGGGACCTGGAGCGGCTGGACAGGGCCTCACCCACAGTGGGGTCGCCATCAGTGAGCAGGATGATGAGGGAGATGCTCCCGGCGGACAGGAGCTCAGCCCGGTTGCTGTGGTCCAGCAGCCGCACAGCCGCCAGCGTCGCGTCGTTGATGTTGGTTCCTGAAGGGCACATGCATAAAGTGGCTCCCAGCCTGGCTCCCTGAGCCCCTCAGCCCGCCGGGCCGCCGGGCCCCTCACCTCCAGCTGCGATGATGGTGGCAGCATAGCTCTTGGCCATGCTCACATTCTCCTCGGAGGCTGGCACCAGTGATTCCTTCCACTGGGTTGCTTCTGAGTTGAAGACAATGATGTTGAACTGGTCTCTGGGGCTGAGGTCACTCAGGATCTTGATGAGGGCTTCCTTGGTCTGGGAAAGGAAGCAACCCGAGGAGACAAAGAGGGTGACTCAGAAGGCTCGTGGTCCTTAGGTGGGCATCCTGGACTGGTGTCTAGGGTGGGGACAAGGAGTGTGCTCTGGGGGCAGAGGCTACTCTCCCCAGGAAAATGGAGCAGGTAGGGTCTTCCTGCTGCACCAGAGCTGATGGTGGAGAAGCCGGGGGGTTCCTGGGGCCTTGCCCTAGCCCAGGGACCTACCTGCTGGATTTTCCTGCCGACCATTGAACCGCTCTTGTCAATGACAAAGACCACATTCTTGGGCATTGTGGGCAGGCCTTCTGGGGCGAAGTGATGCACAAAGTAGCCATTCTCGATCTGTGGCCAGAGTGAGACCACACCCACGGGATCAGAGCAGAGGCCCTGCTCTAACCACGTCTAGCCTCCTTAGGGCAAATCGCTGGGTTGTCATGCTCTCCTATTCTCCTCCTCACTTCTCTGTCCCACCTCTCAGATCCGCAAATCCACGCTGTCTTTCAGGGCTCAGCCCTCCTCCTGTAGGAGGCGTCCCTACTCACGGGCTCGAACTCTTCCCTTACAACTCTGACGCCTGCTTGCTTTCATATTTGAGGGAGCTTATACTAGAAGATTCAGACAACATAAACTTGGTATTTGTCAAAAGAAGAAAGATTTCAACTGAAGGAATAAAAGAGAAGAGTAAGGATGCCCAAAACCTGTGTGAAAGACGCTACTGTAATTGAGCATAACGCTGAGGTATGAATCTGCTGGCAGCAAAGACAAAGAGGGAGAGGCCCAGAAGAGTTCTTCAGGGAGACAAACCTTTGCTACCTCAGGAAGGAGGATTCCAGGGCCAGTATGCATAACAATCCTCCTGCTTTCTTCCCAGGTCAGTGCCTTGTGCACACTGCTAAGTAGGGTTCATTACTTTCCTCTGCTAGGAGACTCAAGCTCAGGTCTTTGAGGGGGGACAGCTTTTAGGTTGCCTTGCTTTCGGCTGGAGCCCGCCCACCTGAACAGAGCCCCCAGAGGCGGTCCGGTTCACATCATAGCGGACAATGAAGTGGCCGTCCAGGACTGTGTCTTCCTGTTCTGGAGACTTCTGCTGCTGGGAGAGTGTTGGCTTAAAGCGGATGTGAGCCTGGAAGGACAAAGTAGGTTGGCACTGGGAAGAGCAGCGAGGCCATGCCAATGTCTTCCACCTCCAAGTGCATGCTGGGAACAGAATTCTAGGATGCACCTTCAGGTCAGTATTCCAAGGACTTTCTCTCGGGGTGGGCTGCTGCTGGACTGCTTCCATGTAGGGACTGGGTATGAGAGGGGATCTCATTTGTGGAGCCGGGTACAGAGGCTGGGCCCTGACATGTGTGACCCTATATCTTCCACTCCACCTGTCCCCAGGACCCTTCTGCCAGTCTACTCCCCACGCCCCTCACTCACAGGCCACAGGGTTCCTGCCAGGGAACAGAACACTATCTCTAGGCCTTGCCTCCTTGTTTGCCCAGAGATCTCAGAGGCCCCTTCAGCTAGAGAGTCTGCCCAACTGCCCCACACTCTGGGGTCCAGCTCACGGCCCTGGATTGAAGACAGGTTCCTGGAACCCCCACCTGCTGGCCACGGCAGGCCCACCTTGGTCTCATTCTGTGAGGTGGTAAGGGCCTCGGCAAGCTCATTGGTCATGAAGGTGCTCTCCGTCTCCAGGAAGCGGATGCCCTGAGGCTCAAAGATGTGAATGTCCATCTGGAAGGAGAGATATGGTCACCAGGCCGGCTGTGAGCCTGGGCTGGGCCTCAGATGAGACGCAGAGGCAGTGCTGGGTACCTGCAGGTGCTTGACGAGCTGCTGGGGCTGCAACCTCAGCAGCAGCTCGTACATGCCCAGGTGCCGCCTCAGCAGCTCCTCGTACACTAGCTCGAAGGTGATCTTGGCAGCAGGAGCCACGCTCACCGACACTTGGAACTCCTCCATCTTTCTCCCTGTGGCCCTGGGGAAGGAGGGTATCAGGCCTGTCCTGCTGGGCCAACTCCCTCCCCGCCACCCCAGGCACCTCCAGCGGCTCACTTGATGAGGCCGGCGTTCTCGCCTCTGCTCACAGCCGCAGTGTACTGCTCATGGGCTGCAACCTTCTCCTTGATAGTCCCTGGGTAGGTGACACCGTCGATGATCCTGGAGGCACAGAGGTGGGATATTCTGAGAGGCTGGTGGGAGAGCTCTCTGCAGGAACCAGTGTGCCTCTTGACACAGTGATGCATATTTTTGCCTGTGTTACTCCTACTTATTGTGTACCTACTGTGTATGAGACCCCAAGCCTGGGTGAGGCCTGCTCCCATCCTCAGTGAGTGCGCCGTTACTACGTGTGTATTCCACTGAACGGACAGGGAGGGAGAGGCCCCCCTCTCAGCCTTCCAGGACCTTCTAATTTGCCCTTCCAGCCTCACAGACTGCTCCTGGAGGAATCATCACCGGTAAGAACTTTTCTCATTTGGCATTGTGTGGCCACGCTTGTGTGGGAGGGGGCCACGAGGCTGAGGCCTCCGACTTCTTCCTGGAAGCTGCCTCTCTCTCTCTCTTCCTGCTCATGGACCCTGCTGGGAGCTCAGCCTCTCTGGAAGGTTTAGCTGAGTGGTGAACGGGACTTCTGGGGCATGTGAGGCCGCTCCTCGCCAGTCAGCCTTTGGGGATGGGAATCAGGTGCGGGGAAATTTCTCTGCACGGAAAAGGGCTACTGCTTGTGAAGTGAGTAGGGGCACGTCAGGTAGGCACCCACTCATGGGCTCCACGGGGCTGGTGTGAAAGGCTGAAGTGTGAGGGTGAGGGAGGGCAAGGGGCTGCGCACAGCTGCCATGGCGCCTCCCTTGTTCTATGAAATCCTGGGCCAGGGTGGTGCCGGGATAGGCGGCCCAGCTCCTCCTCCTGGGTGGACAGTTCTGTCTATCTTCAGATGTGCTACTGCAGTGCATGGTTGGGCTAGGGAGTGGGAAACCCTGTTGCATGCTTCCTTATCTTAAACAGCCATGAGGTCTGGGGCCAGAGAGAAGTGCCAGTCCTGGGCCCTCAGCTGGCATGGCAGTTTGGCTCCTAGTCAGAGGATGTCACAGCCTGCAAAGCTCTTGCTGAAAATGGGGCAGCACTGGGGGAATGGATGGGGGAGGGAAAGGAACCAGCCACAGGGACCCCAGCACCCCCTGCCCTTTTCCAGGAACATTCCCTCTCTTGCTCATCCAGTAGCCTCCCTCGTTCTGGGAGCAGCCTCTTTCCTCACTCACAACCACTTCAGGAGCCAGGGACAGACAAAGTGTTCTGCTGCGCTTTGCAAACATTGCAAAACTGATTTGGAAGGGTGGGGAGGGTTGTCAGCAGCTGAGTCCACAGAAACCCCAGGCCCCTCTGGAAGAGCAGGCAAGCCCTCTGAGGTAATGAGGAAGATCTTTCCTCAACACAACTGTCCCCCGTGGGACCGTTCAGAGGGTTAGAAAGCTCTCAGCATGCTGAGCTGGAATCTGCTTTGATCGCTCCTTTCTGCCTGGGTCTGGCCTCAGGACACCACAAGTTTGCACTCTTCAAAAGCAAAGACAACATGCTATGGTCATCTGCCTGCTGTCTGGGGAGCACTTAGGATGAGGGCGGGGGGCCAGAGGGCCAGATCGCCTCTGAAAAGAGGGAGCGCCTTGGTAAAGCCTCTTCCCCTGAGGTCTATAGATGAAGTGCACCTTGCTTCTCGAAGAGGGTCCTGGGGACCCAGAGGAGCTGGAGTCGCAGGGCTGGGCAGGAAGGGAGGTAGACACCTACATGGAGAAGTTGGTGATGAAGGCTTTCCTGGGTAGCTCCATCTGGAAGACGGCCTCCTGCACGGCATCGGCCTTGTTGACCACGCGGCTGGTGACGACCGTATGAGCGAATCGGGACGAGACCTTGGAGTCCACAGTGAGGCTGTAGATGTCAATGCCATTCTGGACCAGTGAAGGGAAGTGGGTCAGTGTTGCAGTGCCACACGAGCTTGGGCAATAGTCTTCAGGAGGGCAGGGGAATGAAAATGATTGAAATATGTGCATGCGTGAATGTGCCGCAGCAGAGCCCATTGATCTGTATAATCAATAAAAAAGTGTAAAAAAAAAAAAAAAAAAAAAGAGCCTGACCCAGATGAATCCTTGCTCCCAACATGACTGAGTTGCTGAGCAGACCTCAGCCTGAACCCAGCGCGGCACTTCAGTCTGAATTTCTGTCTGATACAAGAGGAAGGGTGTGTTCATGCCCCACCGCACAGCATCAGGGGCAGAGGCCACATTTGCCTTGTTGTTTGTGGGGCTGTAGGGCCCCGCGGGAACAGCAAGCACTGAGGGGGTTTGCTCAAGCCCAGGGCTTAGGAGATTGCGCTTCTCCTTGGTGTAGAGGCCGTGAGCCCCAGTGGGGCCAGGAGCTGCATGTCCAGCTGAGCTTTGCCCAGCCAAAGGGCAGCAAGGCAGCCCTTGTATTTCTGGTGATACCGTGAAACAGCTCCTGCCAATCTCCGACCAGCGGTGAGTGTGGAGGTAGAGAAGGGTCCAGTGTGGAAGGGCTGGGAACCTTCTTATCTATACCTATTTTTTTGGCAGTGGACCCTCCATTCTTCTTTCTTCTCTCTAGGATGCCCCCAACCTGTCATCTTTGTCCCAACATCTGAGGTGCCCCAAGAAAGGACACATGCAGGCAGAGCCTTACATAGCTCTTACCAAGCTGTGGGCACCACACGTATGTGCACACCACCCCTGCTCTGCTGGACACAGCTGCGCATGCTCACGCAGCTCAGCGTAGAGGTGCCAAGCGGCTTACACATGCAAGTGTTGGCTCGATGCCAGTCACTGTACTAAGCTAAGCACTTTTTACTTTTCTGGTGCTTGAGATTGAACTCAGGGATACTTTATCACTGAGCTACACAGCCTTTGGGTTTGTTTTTAATTTTGAGGCAGGAGAGTGTCTCTAAGTTGCTCAGGTTAGTATTGAACTTGCAATCCTCCTGCCTCAGTGGATTCATAGTCATGTGTCACTGTGCCCAGCTGTAACGGGCACTCTGTAAGTATTGTGAAGCTGCTTTTCCCAACAATCCTTGGCATAGGCTTTATGATTACCCTGTTTCATAGATGAGGAAACTGAGACATAGAAAGTGTCATGAGTCACTCCACCGGGAGTGTAAGAGCAAGTTCACAAAGCTGCGTCACTACCCACCCTGCTCCGCTGCCAACATCAGCAGGCAACTGGCTAAGCTGCATTTTTTTATCTGCAAGATGGAAATAAAAGGATATTCCTTCTACTACAGGAATACCCATAAGGTCCTCAGGTAGTGCCTGGTGGGGGACAGCACCACGGTTTTGCTCACACACAGTCACACACACTCCTGCTTAAATGCTTGCATACCCAGGGGCTCTCCCCACTTCCCAGCTCACACCGCATCCAGCTGGGCACACAAAGGTCCTGTGGGTACCCCATACCTTATGGGCCGTGGCAGTCTGGAGGACAGTCAGCAGCAGTGAGGGCAAGACCAGGAAGATACTGCAGGTGTGCACATGGTTCAGAACCTTCATTCTGGCTCCGCAGTCTGCCAGGCTGCCTCTGAGCCCAAGAGTAAACGAGAAGCAAATTAATAACCTGTGTGCTGCTCCACCCCTGTGGGGGCAGGTTCTGGGAAATGGAGATCCGCAAGCCAAAACCTCAGGGACCACAGATAAGCAGGCCATGACCAATGTCCAGTGGACTTTGGTTGGGGCAAAGGAAAGGCAGAGTCAGGCTGGAATTAGGTATTGGAGCCCCTTTTGAAAGGTCTGGAAGTTTCCCAGGCACCACAAGCCTCATCCCCATACATCTTCTTTTGTGTGCCCCAGCCCTATGGAACAGGGCGGGAAGATGGTGGAAGCAGGGAGGCAGGGATAACTAGGGCTAGAGGGCTGTTCTACACAGCCTCCTGAGGGAGGGGGATCTTGGCCGCATTGTGGGACTGGGCAGTGGGCCCTGAAGGCATTGAGAGGCCCATGGAGGTGACTGAGGCAGCCCATGCAGAATGGTGAGGTGTGGAACAGGACCTATTCTTTTCTTCTGGGTCCAAGGCTGCTGTTTAGGCCCTATTAATCTAGCCAGGGTTCTAGGTTCAACTCCAGCAGGGCCCCAACCAGGCTTGCAACTTGACAATACACACCGGGTCACACAGATGCAGATCCTGTGGGCTAAGCGTGATGCTAGGAATGCTAGCAAGGCAGAGGCCATGTGGCAGGGCTGCTGCAGTGGTGGGCGTGCCCAGGTGGCCTGAGAGGGCAGGACTGCACTGTCGGGTTGGTCAAACGTAGCCACAGCAGGCCTGTTGGGATGCTGTCCAACAGCCTGCCTGGTGTTCTTGGTGGCTTTTTCTGTTTATCTTTAATAAAGTCAAAGTGCTGCTTTAATAACAAACGGCAATAAGCGAAACAAATATTAGCCTTCCGGATGCAGGTGACACTTGCTCCCTGGTGGCTCTGGGATGGCCAGCTCCTGAGTCTGTAGACACACATGGGTCAAGCGGAGTCATGGAAATGTGGCCAAGTATCAAGTCCAGGGTCAAGGAGGACGGCGGCTCAGTGACGCACCAGCCCCGAGGCGTCTACCTGCCCGGGTGTCCAACAGGGCCTTGGGGCAGTGTCCCCATCACCAGTCCTGCCTTCCTCAAAGCTGGCTTCCCAGACGCTGGAGTGAGTCCCTGGCTGCACTTACAGTTTTCCCCTTTCCTCGGCATGGCTGTGACTAGAAGCCTCGCCTCTGTGCACGCCCATGCTGCTCACGCATGTGGCTCTGGGGTACGAATGGGGCTCAAGGGGAAACATCTCTCTTTTGCATCTGGGGAAGAGCTTCTCCAAGGTTGCAGTGACCAGCCCCAGGCTTCGTCCCCATGAGGTCTGCTCCCTTGGGGCGCACAGCATGGGCTCAGCCTGGAGTCAGGCTATATAAGGAGGTCAGGCTAGCTGGGAATGTGGGAAAAGGCCTGAGCTGCCAGGCCCACTTGCCCAGGGGACAGGAGGGGCTTCCCATAGGCTTTGTCCTCCTGCCTGGCATTGCAAGCCCAAAGCCTGCCAGTCCAGCCCCAGAAGAAGCCTCCAGCAGCTTGCCAATGGCCTGGCCATCACAGCTGGATGGTTCCAAGTCTCCGGATTGGACAGTTCCGTGCATGTGGGTCAGGGGTCAGAAGAGGATCTGCTGAGCACCTGGCATCGCCTGGTGGCATGGAGGTGGTGGTGGTGGAAAGTGGTGGTGGGGTCAGTCTGCTGTTTGTAAAGGAAACAGTAGCTCAGGTCACTCACTGCCACTGGCCAGAGAGCAACCTTGACCCGGACTGTCTTTGAGGGGCAAACTGTCAAGAAGGCAGCGAGGGCTAGGGAGAAAGCTCAGTGGCACAGCGCCTGCCTGGCAAGAACAAGGTCCTGAGTTCAATTCCTGGTTTTAAAAAAAGTGGGAACAAAGTGCAGGGGGAGTGCGCTGTGAGGGCCAAGACCCCACAAAGTCATGGAGTCCTTGGGCATACCACAATGGCTCCTGGGGCAGGTGGGGAGGGTGCGCCCCAGGCCTCCTCTGACTTCATTCAGAGCAGTATCATTGTGGGCCTTCACAGGTTAGGCAGCAGCTCGGCTCTGCTGTTGCACACACGGGGAGAGCGAGGCTTAGGAAAGGAGAAGAGACTGGTCTGAAGCCACAGCGAGTCAGTATCAGGTCGCCATGTCCCAGGCCCTTTTTAATGTCTCAGTAGCCCCCAAAGCACCTGCATTATCCCCTGGGGCCTTCCCCAAAGCCCAGGAAGGTTACAGGCAAGTTTCTATGCTCCTCCGTGCTCCCCTGTCCTCCAGCTCCTCTGCAGATAGTGGCCACGACCCACCAACACCCTCCCAACACCGAGGTCAACTGGGCATCTTTTTTATTGGTGTTTGCAAGTGCTGGTACCAAAGGGCCAGGGCAGTGGAGGAGGGGCGGCAGTCCTGGAGTCAGCGGGGGTGGAAGGGCACATTGGGGCATTAAAAAAAAAAGTTCGTGGGAAAAGCTCCTGTGTCCGCAGGCTCAGGAAGGCAAGAGGAGTGGTGAGCTCTTCTCAACCAAAGACGCTCTTGGCTGGTCCGGCTTTGGGCTTCTCAAAGACGGTCTCAGTACCTGTGCGACTGCGGCTGAACACAGATGGGGCGGCCGAGCCAGCTTGCTCTGGGGGAAGGGAGCACAGGGTACCATCAGGGCCTGGCTGGCTTTTTCTGGAGGCGGCTCCTTGTGCTGGAAGCAGCCTCTCCTTCGACCACAAGCTCTGGACTCTCAGAAAAGGCCCCCTGACCCTCTCCCCCCACCAGTGGCGGACATCTGCGCCCCCAACCCCATCCTCAACTGCAGCTGACATGGAGGACACTTACCACAATCCCGCATGACCTGGTAAGTCTTAGATTTGATTTCCTGGTTCTTGTTCAGGTTCTCTCGGGCCCCCTTCAGGTCCTCCTCCTTCACAGGGGGCCGCTTCTTCTTGATGGGGGCTTCAGGAGCGCCATCCTTGAAATGCCCAGAATTCCATCTTATGACCCGAGGCCTCGAGCTGGAGACCGTTTCCCTACCTGCGTTTGGGCCAAGACCTTCTTCTTGCTTCCTGAACTCAAGCCGGCGGGGAGGCCCATCCTCTTCCAAGAAGGCTTCTCCATCCCTTGCCCTCCCCAGCAGGCAGGGGCCCCTGGGGCAGCATCCCTCAGGCTCACAGGGGTCTGCCTGCCCAGCCAAATTCAGGGCTGGGCACAATGGCAGAGGGGAAAAGGACCGTGTTGGAGGCTGCACAGCCCCAGGCAAGCTGGTGAGTTCTGAAACCTGCTCACTGGATGGCAAGCAGTTAACCTTCTCTCGGCAAAACACCAGTATTTTTACTTTTACTGTGTTTCTGGAAGGGAGAGGTAGACAGCCCGGATGCCATAAAGTTACAGTACAAACTTGGCACTTCCCCACAGAACAGGCAGTAGGGATAAGCCTCCCCTTGGCAGGCTGCTGTCTCCCAGGGCTGGGACATCCCGACTCTCAGTGTTTACCACACATGCACACACGCCAGGCACCTAGGAGTCTAAATCTGTACTCTGTCCTAAACCCTGGAGGCAGGTGTAGGGATTCCTCCCTTCAACCTGGGCTAGGCTTCTGGGGAACCCTCTCCAAGGCTCAGAGACACACTGCTGGGAGATAGCTGTAGGGGCAAGGGCTGTGGATCTACAGATGTGTGGGCATGTGCACGCACACCTACATACATGCACAATGCATGGCCGGAGGCTACAACCACAAACACCTACAATTCTCAGACACATACAGAAATCTATACAAGTGCCACACCCACCAGCCTGACCTCACCCACCACAGGATAACCACAGTCAAGCTTAACTGGGATTTATATAAGGGGAGACCCAGGCTGTCCCCGCTGGCTACAGTGCTGGCTGTTTATACTTGGTCCTAGGCTCAAGACGGCTGTCAGAGATGACAGTGCCCAGGCCTCCTCCCCAGGCCCTCTGGCTCCCACCCAGCTAGCGCTGGATCTCTTACCTGGGACATGGTGTGTGCTGGGCAAGCCGGCTCTCCAAGAGTGCCTTGGACAGCAGTAGCAGAGGGACGAGATCTGTGAGAAGTCCAGCTCTCTGGAGCTTATATAGCCTGCTCTTGGTCCTCTGGCGAGGTCACTCCCCTCCTCCAGCCGGCTCCCTGATGATTCAGGTCCACACAGCCACTGGCTTCAGAGTTTATTCTTGGAGATGAGAGGGGCAGCACCCTGGGGGAAGCAGACAGCTGGAGACCCTGTACCCTCGGGAACGGCTGCCCGGCACAGGTGGCGACTGGCTTGTGCGTAGGAATGTGCGTTCTGGAATGTACCGGCCTGCAGGGGCCCATCTCGGTGCGGGAGACTGCCTCTGAGGAAGAGAGGGTCCTGAGCGGGGTCAGAAGCTCCACGCTTGCTTTCTCTTCTGCCCCCTTCTCCAGATCCCAGTGGGAAGAGACTTTCCAGCCCCCAAAGGCAGCAGGCAGAAGTTTCCTGTCTATCCCTTAGAAGTATTTTCTCAAGGAAGGGGCTTGGCTAGTGCTGGTTCAGAGATGGAGAAAAATGAACCGGAGGGGAGTCCGTGGAGCAGCTGCATCAGGCTTTTGCTGATGTCTTCATCCTCTATCCAGCACTGGTACAAGTGTGCAGAGGGACCCAGCAAGGTAAAGGTAAGGGGGCGCAGGAAAGACAGGAAGGGAGAACAGGCTCGATGAGGAGGGCTCTAGGGACAGCCCGAGATGCGTCACTAGGGGGCTGGCCAACAAGTGCCCCAAGAGGGCTGGCACACAGTGACCCCACCCCCACTGAGCTATGGACAGGACAGGCCCACAGACCCTCCTGTAAGGTCACTCACTGAGTGCTTTGTGCTGGGAGCCCTCACATCTTCCTCTTTGCAGGGGGAGATCCCCAGGGGAACACGGCAGGACCCTAAGCCTGGGGTCCCTGCTTTTCCCTTTAGAGCAGCAGAATTTTGCTATCCAAGGTGACCCCAATCCTTTTGCCTCAGCCTCCCAAATGCTGGCATTACAGGTGTGCATCACCATGCCTGGCAGCTCCTTTCCAGTTTGTTATGGTGGTTATTTTTATCCTGGAAGGCTCCCGGCAGATGGAACCCAACCAGGCTCTGACATTTGGTTATCCCAAATGCCACTTTACTGCTGTCATGCCCCAACCTCCAGCCCAAGGCCCCTCTGGTCCCAGGATGCCGGTGTGAGGACTGCCAGGCTTGGTCTGAGAGGAATGCTGACAAGGGGGAATGCCTGGGACATCACACAGGGCCAGGAGCAGCGCATGTGCAGCAGGCCTTTGGAGCGCGCCTCTGCCAGGGTCAGAAGGGTCACCTGAGTGGTGCCTGAGGGTCTAGCACTACCCTGCAGCTGTTTCTGTTCAGCTCTGGGGCCTTAGGGGCCAACAACATGGGATATTCACTCTTCACAGGCTACCTTCCAACACAACTCACTCCTCAGGAGGGAGACTCCTTAGTTAGAAAGTGGGAAAGGCGTGCATGACCAGGTCTGGTTACTTTCTTTAGTAATTTCAGCTCCATTGCTTTCTCAGGCAATCAAACGTTCCTTCTCGCTCTGCTTCCTGGGGAAAATAACTGTTTTTTTAATGCCACTATACTGTTTCAACTCTAGCAAACCTACAACCAAGGCCAAAAAAAAAAGGCTTCATTAAAAAATAAAGTCTGTCAAACTTTACTGTAAACCATTTTACAATATATCATCTTCCCTTTCATTTCAAAAATGCTTTTCTATGACTCATAACAGCACCAGTTAAATACCTCCGCTGCACAGCAGCTGAAGTTGGCAGTTTTGGCTCATGTAAGTCTGACTTCTAATAAACTTCATGAAAAGAAAATCAAATGTAAAACAACCAGCCTACTCACCTGTGAGGATCTCAAGGTGCCCAGAGTAAGTCCCTCAGCGAAAGCAATACCCCTCGTAGCTTCCAGTGTCTTACAGTGTGAAACAGAGCTCTGTCTCTTAGCTGGCAGCACAGGAGCCTCGAAGAGTCGGCCCTATTCCTTAGAAGGCAGTTGCTTTGTCAGGCTGGCCGGAAGCTCCCAGGGCCACCTAACTTGGCTATAAAACAGCCAGCAAACTGCAATCTGGGCGGTCCCGGGACAGCCGTCTATGTGTCCCTGGGTTGAAGGGAAGTCACAGCTTACACCTGAGTCTTTATATTTTACCTGAAGAGGTTCGAGGTCCCACCACTCTGTGACTCCCTCCCAGGGAGGGCAGAGGGTAAAGTCTGAGGCAGAGGTCCATGAGCATGGGCCATGGACCTTCCAGAATGAGAAGCCACTCCCACCCGCGATCGCACCCCCACCCCCACTTGCCACTGTCAATGACCTGTTGACAGGAAAAGGAAATAACAACAACCATCTCTTCCGGTTAGATGACAATTCCTCCTCATTGGTTTATTAGTTAACAAGAAACTTGTTCATAACCTTGACTTGCAAGCTTCCATCATGAGTGACCTGGTCAAAATCCAGATTTGGACAAATGAGATTAACAGCACACAATATCCATCAGTATCCCATTGCTTCTCAAGCATGGTGAGGCCTGCTGTAGGCTGGTGGAGGGCTGCAGCTCATAAGGCACCTTGGAGCAGGTGATAAGGAAACACCCTGGGGAAGGCCAGCTCAGGAGGATGTCTTGACCGCAGCCCTGCCTCTACTTTTGAGGGACAGTGAATTACAGAAGAGGAGCCTGTGACTACTGGAAGCTCTCCTGCAGCGTGTGAATGTGCGTGTGCATGTGGGTGCAGGTACAAACACATCACCCAGGAAGAAGGTAAGGCCAAGACATGGAGCCACATTGGCCCAGCCTACATTGCAGGAGGCCCCTGTGATCAGATTCCTTATTAGACCTCCATCCCTGCTGAGCCAGCTCCACAGCTCCAGCCCTTCATAAAAACCAGGATTCAGGGAAGACCCAGCTCTCACTGCCTCGTCTGTCTTCTACCTACTGCTCAGCAGGCAGTGGGATGAACCCAGAGGTGAGTCATCTGAGGTCAATATTACCTGGAGTTTCCATTTTTCAGACGGGAGCTCCCACCTCCAGGAGCTCAAGACTATGTGGTTGTGGGCTCCAGAAGGTGACAAATAGCTCCACAGTTGTGCAACAACAGAGAACAGGAGGGGAGAAGGAAGGAGAAGAGTCAGTGATACCATTAGTGATGAACGGGCTCACCGAGTGTGCCAGTCCTGGTCTTCCCCAAAGGGACTCAGTATCGCCGTACTGGGAAGGGGTGGGGAGAAGCCACAGGTGTGGGATGGGAGGGCTAGCAAGTGAATATGAGCAGGAGCCATTCAGGGCCCTCTCACGTCTCCCTTCCTGCCAGCCTCTCCTCTTGTGGCCATGATGACTACGCTAGCAAAGTCAACTCCTAGTGCACGGCTACAGCTGCCGCCCTCAGTGGTGCCTGCATTCCTACAGGGCCTGGGCTGAGAGGCCTCCCCAAGGCGTGCATCCAGGACAGGCTGAACCACAAGCAGCAGCGGCAGTCCTACAGGCCTGGCTTAACAGCGTGGCTCACCCATTCCACACATATTCAGACCCAGGAGCCTAAGTAAAGCATATGGGTTTAAAAAGCAGGCCACACAGAGTGGCCTCCACTGCCTCTGCCTTCCCTCAGCAGTGAGGTCTCTTATTCCTACGTGTCCATAGCTGCCTGTTGGCCTGACAAGCCCCGGGCAGTTCCACCATGCTGCTTCAACAGTAGGGCCGCACTGGCTCAGCCCACTCCACCACATTCAGCAAACTCCCAGAGCCAGGGCTTGCGGCCATCCTGAGTAGGTACCACCATCCACACAGGGGACAGAGCCTAGCCGCACCTTAGGCTGCTATGGATTTAGACAGGGAGCCCTCTCATCTCTGCCCACCCTGCTAGCCCATTCACAGTTCTGGAGGGTGTAAAAAGCCTCAATTGGCCAGGTGGATGTTCTCCAGACTGCTGTGCGAAGGAGCAGATGATGGCAGGGGACAGGTACCAAGGCACGGTGGCCCGGTGCCACAGTAGAGGCAAGGAACTAACAGAGCAGCCTGGAGGTCTGAATGCGTCTGGACCCAAGATCTAACTTTCTGGTACTGGGAATTGAGCCCAGAGCCTGGACTTGCCGAGCAGGTGCTGCTGCACTGCTGAGCTACCGCCCAGCCCCCCAAGATCTAACTTTAAGGTCCCCTCTCAGCCAAAACTAATCAACGCAGGTAACCTATCTGCATTCCAGAAGCAGATGCCAAAAGGCTCCTCCTGCTTGGGTCTGACCTTTACACACATCGAGCTACGAGCTCCACATAAAGGTGCTCACCTCCCCGACTCTTTTTTTCTTTAAATTAAGCTCTGCCCCTGAATCTTTTTTTTTTTCTCCCCCTGAACCTTATCTTGACTCATTCATTGGACATTACCTAACAATGTTCCAAGCATAAACTCCTGGCTTTTTCTTCCCACCAGCTCATACCCCATGAAAGGCAAACAAATCCATTTCTTTGGGGATTAAAAAGCTTTTAAATACAATAGTATGAAAATATAACTTAAAAATATAAAAGTCAAACAGTATACGGAAGACTTAAAAAAATCTATGTTTTGCTTATTAGTCCCATAGGTATTTTGTAGGAATAAACACATACTCAAAAAACAGTAACACTGTCACAGCGCATAAAACCGGCTTTAGAAATCAAGAGTTACAAAAGCTATTTTGAGTAAGAAAGCATCTCAGTTCCAACTTGGTCAGTGAGTGGCTTTTAGCCCCAAGCATGTCATGTGTCCACACCGCCGGCAGCCCCAGTGAGGTCTGTGAGGACCTGTGTTTTCTACCACGTCACCCAGCCGGGCACAGGACAGGGGCTTTGGGGTCCCTCACAGCACTGTTCAGGACAACAACAAACAGACAAAGCTCTTGGCTTGCATATTTGGTCAGTGTTTGTAGTGCAACTGAGCAGGAGCCTCCAGCTGCCCACGGCCCACCTGGGCGCTGGGTCCTCTTCCCTCCGTTTAAGTCACAGTAGTCTGGGAGTGGGCGGAGAGTGGGCAGACAGCAGGAGGAGTGGAGGTAGAAGAGGAGGGGCACAGAGAGGACGGAAGGGCTGCTGCTGAGGGGTGAGCGTCTGCCGACACAGCAGCTGGCTGGGCCCCGCGCCTGTCACCCCCAGCACTGGAATGTGTCATACAGGCAGCCCAAAGCGGTGCTTCTTTTTCTTTCCAGGCTTGAGGGGAGTCAGCCTGCGGAGGTCCTCCTCCACGTCGGATTCCTCCATCTCGTCGTCAGCCGAGATCAGGATCTGAGGCAGAGGAGAAGGACTGAGAGAGACGCTGCCAGTCGCGTCTTCTGCCTTTGCCCTCCCTACACCCGGATCCTATGCAAGTCCCGCTTAGTGCCTCTTTACACAGAGAACAGACAGACTTCCCGCCTCTGCTTATTCTTCAACCCCCACTCCAGTGTGCTTGTGACCTCCAGCAAGACCCAAAGCCAGTGTTAACTAACTCGACAGGGACTTGCAGCGTGAGGCTCTCCTGGCCGAAAGCTGCTCAGTTTCACATATGGAATCCTGAGCCCTGAAATAGCATTACACACAGCAGAAGCGAACCAAAAACCCTTTTTCGAAAGAGAAACCATCTATGGGATGGATATACACAGGGGCTCTTTTGTCATTCTGAAGAACTATGTCACTGTTGAAGGCAAACAGGAATGTGTGCTCTTCTGAGACCCTTGAACGACTCACCAGCAGACGGGTCCTCCAGGGCAAACATGCCCATCCCCTGTGCACTGCCCTGGCACCTGCTGGCCTCAGACCTCTGAGCCCCAAGGAAAGACCGGCAGAGCCTATGCTAAGCCGGAGGCCCGGGCCCACCGCTGCAGGGCAACATGAACTCCTCCTGCTCCGGGGGCAGGGCAGTCACCACTTCTCCCCTGGACTGACCTCTGTGGCAGGGATGGCAAGGCTTTTAGAAACCAAGTGTCCCCAACCCACTTAAATATTATGAAGCACCAACACTGCCCCTGTATGCGCTGTGATCTGACACTCGGTGGTGGGAGCGACTTGGCTCATGTACCTGCTGCAGTGCCACAGGTGCGCTGCCCTGGTCTGGAGGGGTCTGGCCTCCAGCCTCGGTTGCCTAATTAAACTGTCGCTGGCTCCCTACTGCCTGTGCACACACACCTCAGTCACAGAGCACCTTCCCTGGCTGCTCAGACTTGTCTTGTACCTCCTTTTTTGCATTCCATCTATACTCTGGAATAAACGCTGCTCTGGCCACGGTGAATTTCACATTACCCAGGCCCCAGCACACGTGACTGAAGGCTCACGAGCTGTGGTTTCTGTCTGTGATGCTGTTGGTCACTCAGCAAATGTTCACTATGCTCTGATGGTGTAACAAGCCCTGTGCTGGATTCTGGGAACCCACATCTACACAGGACATGGGCTGAGGCTCTGTCCTATCTTATTTTTCAAAAATCCTTGCAGATGGCCCTGGGACCTCCCAGGGTGCCGCCTGTGCCCCAATCTCAGGATGCACTGCTCCGTGACGAGCTCTCTCTGCATCTACCTTCACCTGCTCACGAGTCTGCAGGCCGGAGCTACACACGCAGAGTCAGCGCTGCGGGCCACCAGCACACAAATCCCTGCCTCTATGCTGCAGCTCACGACCACCATTCTTCCCTGCAGTCCATGCCTTTGAACCTGGGAATCTAGGGAAGAAGGGGAGACGAGGCCACCCCTTGAGGTCTGCCTGCTCCTTTACAAGTTTCTAGGTGGCCCGAGCCAACAACTTCCCTTACTCGTTAGTTGTGGGCAGGAATCTAACACCTAAAGCTTAACGGTCAACTGCAAGGCCATGAAGGGCCGTGCCAGTTTCCCTGAACAAGGCAGCTCCTGCTTTGCTGTCTTTCTCCTCTGACAGTGGGAGGCAGGCCACTCCACCTTGTGCTCCACCCTCTTGCCCTAGGAAGGCCCATGCAGCACAGACATGGCGACTGGCTGGGTGGAAGCTGGGACCTGGATGCTCTTGGGTGCAGCCTCTTCCTCTCCTTGGTTGTACTGTGACTCAGTACTCAAGGGAAGACCAAATGTACATGTGAGACCAGGGACCTCCAGGGTCAGGGGTATGACGGCCAGGCCTGCGTGGAGGCAGGGAGACTCCTACCTCAGACTCAGATTCCTCGTGGGATGCAGCCCTTCGGTAGCGGACCTTGCTCCCATTCCTGGAGTCTTGGTTTGCTCCTCTCTCTTCTAGCTTAGCTTTCGTCTTGCCTTTTCTCATGAGGAAATTGTCTACTACCCAAAACATCAAAGCCTGTGCAAGGAAAAGTGCATGTCACTGTGGGACAAGCCACTCTCAAAGCAGAGCGGAGCGGCTCCACAATCACGCTTCCCCCACAGCTATTCCGCCTGATAAAATTCAGAAGGAGAAAAAGGGAAACCTCATGTCCCTAACCCCCATTATCTCCTAGAAGTGTGGGGAGGAACTCCTAAACTCTATTTTCCTGGTACGGTTTTATTATCAGAAAACAGGCAAGAAAATCCTTGGCCTGTTCACCGAGGAGCTTTTCTTATAGTAAGTGATAGCAGCCCGCCTGGCTCAGGAGCCAGGTCTCTGGACACCTGTTCGAGGCTATCTGTGTGGGTCCCTGATGGGGTTCCTAGGGCATTCCTCTCTGCTGACTCTCAGTCATGGTGCTTACAAATTTCTTTCTGAGGGCTGTATGAGGAAAAAGGACCGGAGTACACTCGAAACAATCCTAATCTAGAATTCAGGGTCACACGTGGGGCGGGTGTCTCAGAGGGAGAGCAGCTGGCAGCAGGGGCAGGACAAATTTCCCAGGACCCTCCCTCTTGTGCAGGGCCCTGAGTGGGGACCTGTCCTTCGAGGAAGGAAGAAATCCTCCCATTTCCAGGGCAGAAGTGGGAGATGACAACTTGTTACATAGAAAGAAAAATATCTGACTCTACAGCCCAAAACACAGTAACATGCACTTTTCCTTGCACAGGTTTTGACGTTTGAGGGCTGGCTGTAGAGAGATTTTGTCAGACTCCAAACTTTGAACAGGAAGGTGGAAACCAGGGCCCAAACCAGGTAAAACAGGAAATGATACTGACATTGACAAAGAAGGGGACGATCAGCATGACAATGGCCAATTTCAGGTCTGGGTTCTCAATGGGATTCAGTAGGGCCACCTGTGAAGAGAGCAGAAAGGTGAAGAGGAAGGTGCAGGGACAGTGCCCAGTGCAGGGCCCAGGAGGGAGGAGGCTGAGACGTGGCCAAGAGTCTGACAGGAACAGCTCTAACACCAGCCCTGTACCGAGTGTAGCAACTCCCAGATCTATTAATGTGGGAACCCCCTGGAGACCCATAACCCTCTGAGCAGCTGGACTTGCTAAGAGCAGTGGGCTTTCTGGCGCTAAGCCAGGGCCATGCTGGGCCCACAGTGACTGGAAAGCCCAAGGCGGGGGTGGGGAACTGTGGGCACTGGGGGCTGGCGGAGTATAGTAGTAGTGACAGGAGCAGCAGGGCCACCTTCTAGTAGAAATCCACCCTTGTGAGATAACAGTTGTGCAATGTCCTGGCTTATTTTCTTAAAAATATAAAATCAAATGGAGGCCAAGGCTGGGACTACATGTTCTGGAAGACTGGGGCTGCTTCAGGTGGGGATGAGTAACGCAGGCTTATCTGTGTGGTATTAGGGTCAGAGGGCAAAGGCCAGGCTTGGGAAAATTAAGAACTCAAGAGTGTCAGCAGGCTGGTGGTCACAGAGTAGGAAAGCTGACTGCAGCCCCAAATGGCTCAGCTAAATAACTGGCCAAGACAGGTATGTCTTGCCAACCCAGAGAAATAACCGTTGCAAGGTCTGAAGCCTAATCAGTTGGTAACCCACAGGTAGAGCCTGCATCCCAAGGATTCGCCTGGAGCGGGCACTCAGGTAAATGGAGGGGACGGATGGCAGGTAAGAGAGCGACAAATTAAGGCTCTAGCACACAGCTGCCGTGTCAGACCCAATCCAGGGTCCACTCGTGGAGTTAAAACAAAGATCAAACTAGGTCCGCAACAGGGCCGGGGTGCGGGTGACAGGAGGAAGCGCCGTGTGCTCGGCTTGGCAGGGGCTGCTGCGGCAGGGACAAGAGGCAAACCTTTTTCCACTGAAGTATGAGGAGTACGATGAAGACCACAGACTTTTCAAAGATCATAATCACGATGTACAGGGCACACTGCCCAGCCCAGGCGCCACACTGCAGAGGGTCTCCTGCAAGGCGGGTGGGGGCTTAGTCACACAGGCCAACACCCCCGCCCCAGCCCAGGTCCTTGTGAGCCCTGTATCCCAGCCACACCCCAGAACCCTGGCTCTGATACTTAAAGAGCCCCCAAGGCCTGAAAACCACCTCATTCCTAAGAGGCAAATGTGTTTTAAATAAAATCAGAATTCCTAATTTGGACATCCCAGAATCATCCTTCTTTCAAGAGCTTCTAAGAATTAAAAGGCACTAAAGTTAGTAAGTGCTCACTGCTGGCACTCAGAGAGGCTGGCTCTCTGTCCCCTGGCAGCAGAAGCTGCGTGGAGCAAGACTGCTATTATTATCCGTTGTTGATTTTTCCAGTGACTGTGCTGTCCTTCCTCTCCTCTGATGAGTGATTTACAAAAGCAGTAACTGGCCTCCTCGTTCACTTCCCACCCTTCAGCCTCCTATCCTTGCCATACTTCCTGGCTGTTTTCACCTCTGACAGCAGAACTCAGCTCTGGGAGGAAGTTGTATCTGTCTGGTATGGGCAATCCTAAGTACCCAGGCAAGGGACAAGGAAGAGAGAAGCCCCTGAGAGGAGGAGGTGGGAGTGACGGGCTGAGGCGGCAGCGCTGACAAAGGCCCCTCAGTGATCCTGTTAGTTGCTATGCTGCAGCAACTAAAGGGGCACTAGTCCAGGATACTCACTTCCCGGAGCACCCCCCAGGATGCTTCACAGAGGGCTCCACGCAGGGCAGAGGACTAGCCCCTTGCAGGGTGATCCCACCATGCAGAACCTAGTGATGGTCCTGGGAGCCACACAGGGCCTCCCCAAAGTGGGAGACCAGGGAATAAAGTACCAGGGAGGCCCCCAGGGTCACCCGTGAAGCTCTGTCAGAGCTATCTGGACAGTACTGGTCAGAATGGAGGAAGGTGGAGAGTAACATTTCAGGAGGCAAAGGCTCCAAGCCAGATAGACAGAAGAGAATTCGTCCTGAGGAGAAATCTCCAGCTCCTCATTTGATTCCAACATTTCCATGGTGGCCCTGTCCAGGTCCTTGTGCCATGGGCCCTCGGGCTACCTGGGCCTGTCACTGTACACAGTAAAGCACAGGGAATGCCCTCAGGCAGTCGTAATGGACTGTCACCAGGCTGTTCCCTTTCCTGGAAACATTAGGAGAAGGGTGGCAGAAAGCAGGCCCAAGTGTAGCAGCTGCCTGTTTGAGGTCTGCCCACCCACCTTCCCCTCTGAGGTGAGCCAAAACCAGGCCATTTCAGAAGTAGGCCCCTCCTTGTGAGGAGGCTGTCGGTGGATTTTGCAACGCTTGCAGTGAACCACCTGCCTTACTGAGAAAAGTGCCCCAAAGCAGATGAAACTATTTGCTTAATTAAGCAAAACTGGGGCTAGCGGACAGGAAATGTCCCTGAGTTGGCCTGCCTGACCGTCAGCTCCGTGGGTGGCACCAGTTATTTACCATCCAGCCAGCTGCTTGTTCTGAGAGTGCTCCCTCCACTTGCTCCTGGACTGAAGAAAGAAAAGTACTTTCCCTCCCATCTGCCTCGCTTCTGAGGAGCTGCCGCCGCCTTCTGTTTTAACTAAAACAATGTTTAAAATAAAGTTCAAAACCCCAGTGAAATGAGGGAAACAGCACCCGTGCCCTGGCTCCACCACGCGACCCCACATGGCCGCAGCGCAGCGGCAGTGAACACACTGCTTGCTTCTGTTTGCTCTGGAAGGCTCCCACGTACTCCCAGAGCCAGGTGGAGTCACTGTGCCCTGCCGCCTACTGGACCACCTCAGGTGCGTGGGTGTTTGGTTTGAAGGTTGCAGGCACAGGGCCCGAATGGAGGGAGCAAGTTCACGTCTGAGGCTTCTGGAAAGGAGCCTGAGGAGACGGCAGCAAGCCCATGAGCGCTGACCCGGTGGGACCCAGCCCTTGCTCAGGGAGAGGCACCAGCCCAGATACCTCGGGCTGGGAAGTGAGCCTGCTTCCCAAGCCCTGTGTACTCTCTTCTAGGAGCCATGCAAGCTACCCAGAAACTACATTCTTCTTCATTTACAACAGAAGAGAGCTGTGGGGCCTTGGTGGCATTTTGGGCTTCAATGCATAGACAGTTTCACTGGTGTCTCAGGCAGAACGGTGGTCCACAGCCTAATCCCCAGAACCTGCGACCATGGGATGTGAATAAGCACAGGGGAATAGTGCTGGCAACAGAACTAAGGCTGCTGCTGAGCTGACTTTAAGAGGGGGAGTCTCTGCACATCCACGTGTACCCCGTGTAACTGCAGGGACATTGCATGGTGGAAGGTGGCGAAGGTCGGAGGAGCAGGTCAGAGCAGTGTGATGTGTGAAGAACACGACCTACTGTTGCTGGCTTTGAAGGACAGCACCATGAGCCAAGGAATACGGACAGTCTCCAGCATTGGGAAGGAACAACAACAATCTCTTCTATCCTCTAGAAGGATCTGGCCCCACTGTCACCCCAAATTCAGTACAAGAGACCCATGTTAGACTTCTGAAGAACTGTAATTAATGTGTTTTACTCCCTAAGTCTATGTTAATTTGTTACAGCAGGGAGAGAAAAAACTACAAATTGGCAGTGAGAAAGTAGGAGGTAACTGAGGACACAGCCTGGGGAGGGAGACTTGTGAGGGTCCTTGCTAAAGGACAGCTGTCCCTGGAGACAACCTGCCCCCGCATGAGGACTCTGGTCCCCAAGGCCAGTGACTGAGATAGGGCGAAGCTGGGCCAAGTGGCACAAACACAACCACTGCCTCCTTCCTGTTGATTCACTCTTGGGACCTTAGACAACGCGTTTGGAAACAGCGGTGCTGCACTGCTCGTGTCTCTGGCCCAGACGTGACCTCCACCCCAGGTAGTTCAATAGCGTACAGCTGACTGGGATCCACCTTAGCTCCGGCTGGTTACAGCTGGAGCAGCTGGAGCCCAACCACAGGTGCGGAACGCCCGAGCTCAGCATGTGAACACGCTGTCCCAGCTCTGAGGACATGGAAAGCCTGAGGCAATCCAAGCAAACAGGTTGCTAGGCAGAGGGCTGTCACATGACATCAACCTGCTGCACGCATAAATAAACGCGCTGCAGTTGATGAGCAGTCCTTTTCTCCCATCAGGAGAGGAGGGTCCACCTGACCTCAGCGTTCTATGTTCTGATCCTGGTCTTTATTTCTTCATCCTCTACCATCCTTCACCCTGAGAATTTCGAGAGCTGTGCTGGATGCGGCAGAGTCCTGCTGTCTGGTTGGTTATGGCAGACTTGAGAGTTCTGCTTTCCAGAAAGGATCTCAACAGCAAGGGGTAGTGGTTATGAGCAGCCTGTGGAGGTGGCTGGAGGATTTCAGGGTCCTGGTGCACAGGGCATGAGGCCGTCCGTCACATGCCAGCTGGGTGTACTTTGCAAATCACCCAATTCCGCTGGGCACCTATTCTAGAAACGAGAAGAGTGCTGCGTTGCTTTACACACACCATCCCGGAAGCTGAGGAATGAGGACTCCGTGGAGCTCGGGAGACATAGGCTGTGTGCTGGACACTATCTTAAGTCAGTGACTCATCAGGCATCAAGTAACAGGGCTAAGAAAAGCCCTCTCCTAAGCTCATCTCCCCTCAATGCAGACAATTAGGTACTTAAGGTTTCTAGAAGTATCCAAGACCCTCGGTAGCTTCACAAATCGGCTCCCCATTTAATCTGTCAGTCCCGTGAGGATCTTCAGCCGCCTATAAGTGAGTGGTCCTTGGGCCCAGAGCAATGAGCTCTTTTGGGAGGTGTGATCAGGAAAGGAGAGTGGAACCCACAACTCTATTCACACTCCTTCCTCTAGTCCTGTGTGCCCTCTCATGGCAAAGCCTCCACTGCTGCTCCACAGACAGCAGAGACAGGCTGGAAAGGGGAAAGAGCTGATCCCTTCGCCCTCTCCTAAAACCCCAGAGGACAGCTTGTTGCGGCCACATCCAGCTGCTTCTCAGCTCAGCCGCTACTGAAGCTCTATCTGAAAGTGTCTGAGATGGGCCCGCATACACAAATCACCTGTTTTAAGCCTCTGAGTGAGGAGGGACCTTGTGTCCTTGGTGATTGGTACTTTCAGAGGCCAGGCTGGGAGGGGCAGCAAGTCAGTAGTCAGGAGAAAGCAAGGTATGCTGACTTCAGAGGATGCTCAGAAATTCTGCCCGTGTGAGCACCGCTCTGCCAGTGAAATGGCCCAGCAACAGGACCAACACAGACACGTGACAGGAAGGGGGCGGGACTTCCATCTCCCCAGCATCTCTCCAGCGTGCTGGGTGAGCTCTATGTGAAGCCTGGAGGAATGAGGCGGCCTTGCGGCCCAGCAAGTAGACCTGCCAGTCATCTCCAGGACAAAGGACAAACGTTCAGCCCCCTCCAAGGCCAGAGTGTTTCCTGGCGGCTGTTTCCTTCTCTGAAACAAGGTGAGCGCTCTGGCAGTGAAGCAGGTATACGCCACCCAGAGGGTCACATCCAGGCCCCAGGGACAGCCCCCCCATGTCCGTGGCACGTTACCGTATTCGCCGAAGCGCAGGGATTCCCACTGCTGCCACTCCACCAGGACGCTGACAGCGCGCACGCCTATATAGATGAGCAGCATGCCCACGGTGGCATCCAGGAGAAAGTTGATGAGGTACCTAGGAGGAAAGGGCGCAAGCATCACTAGCTATCCCTCAGCGTGGGGCTTGTCAAGGTTAGAGGTCAAGACTGATGGAGACGCAGCCTGAGGAGAAGCCAGCTGGCCAACAGGTTGTCTGGCCCTGTTCTAGGGCCTTGAAACGAGCCCACGCAAGAGGCCGCAGAGGTCATGGCTCTCACTTCCCAACAAGGTGTGACGCCTCAGCAAGCTGAGGCAGGCGAGTAGGAGAGGGACAAAGAAACTTTAAAAACCGCAGGTGTTCCTGCCAGGCCGAGATTCCACAGAAGACAGAGTACCTGGAAACAGCCGAGGAAATCAACAGCAAAACGAAACTTAACTGACCAGAAAAGAATCGGTTCAGTAATTATGTTTGCTCCCTGATGGTCCAGCCACATAACTAGTAATTAGATGTTCGCCTGAGAGGTGAGCTAGGTGTTAGGCAGAGGGGTTTCACCTGGCATCAATCTGCAGCGTGCATAAGTAAACGCATGGCAGCTGCCGAGCAGTTCTCCCACCCAGAGAGGTCTCCGCCTCACCTCAGCTTTCTGTCTTTATCCTCTACCACCTGCCCCCACCCCAGCCCAGGGACATTTGATTGCCTGCTGGATGCAGCCGGCAGGACTACAAATCCCTCATACGTCCCCATCTGCAGTCACACAAGCAGTGCTTTTGCAAGACTACTCCTTGGAGGAGAGGCCAGAGGACTGGAGGAAGGAGGAGGGCCGGGAGGCATGCCGTCTGCCGCAGACCACACCTGCTGGTAGGGTCTGTTGCCATACCTGTCTGGCACAAAATCCCAGCCCTCACAAGGGAAAGTCCTTTTCCCACCTGCTGTCCCTTGAGGCCCTGGCCCTGATGGCCACAGGCACCAGCTCTCTGTGGCACAATGGCAGACAAGGTTGGCACTGACCCTCTGACACCACATGGCTTGAAATCCCTGCTGATGGCTCCAGGACACCCTGGGACCTGGCTGTGGGAGGCGTGCGAGGTGCTTTACCCCCGCCAGGGCTTCTGTGATGTGCACAGCGCTCCAGCGCCAAAGGAAGCATGCCGCATTTAGTCTCCAGGGCCCAGAGAACAGCATGGAGAGGGAAGGGGGCCAGTGATTTCCCAGCCTGCCCTTCCTCTTGAAAGTCACAAGGGGTCACTCTCAGACCAGAGATGGAAAGAGGCGCCCGGGCTTCCAAGGTAATTTCTGCCCTGGCCTCAGGCCAGGCGGCTCCGCTCACTCACATCTAGTTACTGCCTTACGCCCCTCACACAGGAGACCCAGTCTAAAGCTCACGAGCACGAACGATGTACAGACACACCTCATGTTCGTCCCACCACTCACCAAGTCCTTCCCGAGCCTACTGTGTGCTGGCCTTAGGAAAAAAGACCAAGTTCTACACTCTGTCCTCAACACAGGGAAGATGGGCAGGCAGCAGGGTGTCATGCCGGCCTTGGCGCCAAGCACACTGGACTGGAGTCCAGTTTACCACTCCAGAACTGTGTGACTTTAAGGTATAACCTCTTTGTGCTCTAGCTCTCCAGCTGGGAAGTGCAGATCATCAAAGCTTCTGCAGAGCAAGGCTGTTCTACAGCTAAAACAAGGCAGGAGATGAAGGAGGCCAGCTTCCATCAGCATTCCATCTGCCAAGAGAAGACCCGCCTGGGCTCTACTGGTAAGGAGGACAGGATTTAGGGCCAGGTGAAGGCTTCTGACAGGTGCTCTGGAGCTGCGAAAGCATTCTGCACTGGAAGGAAGAAAAAACCCTGCTCTAAGGTCCAAGAGGTAAATGACAGCGATAAGTCTGACCACGGGTGGCTGATAGCACGAGAAGCCTGCCCACCCCATGCTCTACTTGAACACAGACACCCGCGAAGGGCTTTGGCCTGTCCAGCGAAGGGTGGCCGGGAGGCTGGGAGCTGTCCATGCACGGGGCAACTGTCAAGGCCCACGGGCCAGCTGTGAGGGACGAGCTCTCAAGGGAACACGGGAGAAATGAGCTGCTGCCCTGGCTGTGGAGGCGGAACTGGTGGCAGAATGCAAGGCCAGTCCACATTCTCAAAGGAGGGTGGGTCACGTCTGCACTTAAACCCGGGTCACTTACAGTGAACAGGGGTCCTCTTCAGTGAGATCTGCCAGGTACACGTTCGCAAAGTGGATGAACAGCATCCCTATGGCTTGTTTGGAAGTGTCTAAAAACCTGCACAAAATAGAAAGGGCACTTGTTACGAGTCTGGATAGGAGGGTCGTATCCAGCTTGGAGAAAATGAACAGACCACAGCAAGTAACCCTACGATCTTGAAAATCATCCCTAAATAAGGAGAGGGATCAGCCAAGAAGAGCATGCCTAAGACTCGGAGAACCTGGATCTAGATCTTCACCAGCTCCCTCCCTAGTGCTTGAGTAGACGTCACCTAGTCAGAAGCTAAATACCCAGATCTGAGAAAAACAATGAGCAGGGAACTAAGAACAGGAATGAACAACATTTGGCAGTAATATCTTTAAGAGCAAGTACACGCTTAAAATTTTATGAAGGGCCTTATCACAGTGACCTATCAAGCTTTCCTCTGAAGACAACAGTGGGTGTTCTGGATGGACAAGAGCAAACCAAGCAGCCCACAAAGTCAGCTTCCCGTGGACTGCAGCTGTCCTGAGGGGCTGGCAATCTCCTTCCAGTGACTGAACATTCTGGAGTTTTGTCTTCTAAACGTATTTATACAGATTTATCACCTTATTATCAAAAAATTAACAAAAAATTGCCACTGCAGTGTCATCTTTCAGGAAACCTTTAGGCTTGATTACCTATATACTGAATACACACTTGGTCTGTGCCCATTTGACACAGACCTCCTAAACCTTTTGCAATTTGTACAGTAACTTTTGTCCTAGTATTTGGTTTGTAACACCAGTTTTGGTTACAGAAGTCCTAACCCTTTGGAATGTCTGGGGTGATAGCATCCTTCGTTTCAGTGAGGTGATGTTTGTGGCTCCTAGACAGCTGCAGGACGGAGAAGGTCACCAGAAAGACTGAGCTATGACCAGAAGCCCCTTCCTCTCAACACCATTCTCCAAGGACAGAGGGGCAAGAGTTTGAGTTAATAGTCAATCATGACTATGTGATGAACCCCCATAGAAACCTTTAAACTACGCAGTCTGGAGAGCTTTGGGGTTGGCAAACAAATCCACACATGTGGAGGGACGATGCTACACCCTAAATCCACAAGTACAGAAGGTCCCAGGTTCAGAAGCTTTCAGACCTTTTCCTACATATCTCTTTATCTGGCTGTGTATCTTTATTCTTTATAATAAACCAGGAAATGACAATGTTTCCTTGAGTTTTATGAACTGTGCTAGCAAAGTACTGAATGGGGGGGGGCGTAAATACCCCCTACTTTGTAGGAGTTGCCAGAAGCGTGGGTTCCCTGGGGAGCCACCACTCATGATTAGCATCTGCAGTGGAAGGCCAAGTCTGTGGCAGGGAGTCCTTCCTCCTCTGGTGTCTGCTAATTGAGGTAGTTGGCACCAGAACTGAGTTAAATTATGAGACACTCAAGTAGTGCTACCTGGATTGTTGGGAAACTGGTTAGTATAGGAGAAAAAAAACATGCATTTTGTGTCAGAAGGACTGTAAGTATGAGAATAGTTTTCCTTTGTACTAGGAACAAGGAAGACCAGTTCTGGACAAAGGAACATTTATATGGTATACTGTTGATGATAATCTCCAAATCTGGATATTTTTTTTTACACATATACACTCTAGAATCCTGGAATTTAATTATAATCTAAAAACAGGGAGACAGAGAAAAGAAGCCTGCAGCAGAAAAATTTCTGTATTCTAAAATTAGAAGCAGTGTGATCATAAAATAATGCTAGGGATCAAAAGTAATGTGGAAGTTAGAAGTGCGTTCAGGCTATACATAGTGCCTAATGATTAACTCAACCGAATGATTCCAGACACTCTACATTATACATAATTTCTCCTATTCCATTCCCTACTCACCACAACCACCTCTCAACACCGTGCCCCTCAAAACTCAACAATCAAAACCATTCTAGGACTGAGTTCACACTTCAGTACATACCATATTCTCCATGGGCGTCTTTCATGCTTTGGTTCTCTAAAGCGTTTGACTGGAAGAAAAGACAGGAATCAGTAGCTTTCCAAAGCAGCAAAGTAGGGCAAAAGCATGTACGAGTTAAGTTACTGGTCTATTCACTATTTATACTACTAAGTTAAGAAACCTTCTCTTTTAACATGTAACAATATACAGTAAGCCCAGTGCAGATCACAGAGGTTCTGTACTGCTGATGACCATCGTGGGCTCTGCAGGACTGGATACTTATGAAGTAGAAATCCTCACAGCATGTGAAAAATTGTATTTTTCTCCTAATGACAAGGCTTTCTCAGATAATTACTAGAAACAATAAAATAGAAAATTGCTGCTTCCAACTTTGGGACCTGCTCTCTTAGAGGACAAACCTACTCACTGGTTTGCTGAATGCCTAGTCCCAGGGGTACAAATGTAAAGTCAGCTATCTAGCAAGTAGGAGGACAGATAGATACAGGTAGTATGAGAAGTGCCAGGGCAGAGGCACGTGTGCGGCCAAGGACACGAAGCATGGTATCAGGATGGGTTTTCCTGATGGAGAACAGCAAGCCCAGGCCTGAAGGCTGGCTAAGTTTGCCCAGTTTGGATTGGTGATGGGAGAGAAGAGACTTCTGGGGTAGAGCCAACACCACAGATTCAAAGACAAAGCATGACTGTCTGTTTGGTGTAATTCAGTTTCAACACAGCAGACTGCAAGGGAACCTACTAAGGAAACTCAATTAAGAGGTGAGAAATCAAGAAGGGACCACATGAGGTATGATATGGATCAAGGGTTCTAGAATGACTCCTGTGGAAAAGACCCAGGGAAAGGGCCTAAACAGATTCAGAAACATGCTGGACTTGTGTTTTAGACAAGCAGCTGAAAGACAGCAACAGATCATCCTCCCCAAGATTTAGAATCCAGACACTGGAATATAACAGCTTGGGGAAGGAGGATCTGATGGGAAAATTGGGGCCTAAAGAGAAAATGAAGAGGCAGGCCGCAGGGCAGAGAAAGGAAGTGGCAAAATGTACTCTTCCCAGCTACTGGCCTAGGGTAGGCTTGAATCTACAGAAGCAGTGAGGGTGGTGACTCCAGTGGTCTCCAGGGAGAAACACACCAGAGGCACGGAGCAGTGCATGTCGTGAGCTACAGCAGTCAGTGAGTGACCCCAGTCCAAGCGTCTGCCACGTCCCCTGGAGAGGGAGCTTGGCCCAATGTTATTTTAGGGAGGGGCCAACTGAACCTGGGGCTTGCAGCAGTCATGGGTTGACCTCATCTCAGGACTCCCAGTGACTGGGTGAGGGACAACTGTGGCAGACAGCCAGGGTCAGGGAGCCAAAGTCAGGCCAGCAAGAGATACACAGAGTGCTGTAGGCTGAACAACTCAAGCCCAGCCCTACAACCAGAGGCCGGGATCAGCCTACACCTCTGTAGTGTTGAAAACACCAGAATCAGCACTCCACCCTACTCCTACTGCAGGCTGCTGGGATCCTCTAGCACGAATCTGGGTGTGGTCAGTCTCCTCTGTCTACCAGTGATAGCAGAGATGAGCCCTGACTTGGACACTACCATGAAACTGTAGACCCCAGCAGATAACACAGAAAAAATTTTTTAGAGAAATTATTTTTGGTTTTTCATGAGTGTGAACACACTGTTTTTGTTTTTTAAATTTATTAATTTTTAAATTTATTAGATACACGGTGTTGCTATGCAGCTCAGACACATAGTGATCCTCCTGTCTCATCCTCCCAGATGCTGGGATTACAGGCATGCACCACCATGCAGTTGGGTTCTGGGGCAGGCATGGCATGCAGTACCAGGGATCAAACTTGGGTTCTTGCGCTTGCTATGTAGGCACTTAGACCACTGAGCTATCTCCTCAGTGACCCTCCTTTTTTTGTTAAACATTCCCCCCCGCTTTCTTTTCTTCTAGTCTTCTTCACCAGTTTCCCAAAGCTTGGATAATCTTCCTTTGTCTTTAAGCCTTCTAATCACTTTCTCTTCTTTTACATATCTATTTTTTTCTCTTATTCCTTTGAAATTTTCTCTCCCAAGGATAAAACCACTCTATTGAGATAATATTTACTTTATATAATTTCTGAATTATTTTAGATTTTGTTATGTAACTATAAACGTTGCACTTATAGTTAAAGGTGGCAAATTAACAGTTATCAGTTGGTCATTTTCTAGACTGTGCTTGACACTAATGTTGTTTGTAATTTTACTACTTTAGCCAAGGTGACATAGTTTTTCTGATCAGTTGTTTTCCCTTGTATGCTAATATTGAGACTGTCTGGGAGGTCATTAAAAAAATACCACAGTCCAAGTACCCAAGAACCTGGTGCCAGGCCAAATAAGTGGCAACCACTCATCCCTAATAAATTGAAGCAGCAGCATCTTGGCTCAGATTTAAAAGCCAAAAGCCAGTTACACCTAGAAGACTATCTCTGAAAAGTAGTCATTTCCTACTAGTCGAGAGATTAATACTAGTAACAAAGCTACACCTCATAATTTATAACTATCAACATAGAAAACAAAACAGAAAATGAGAAAATATGGAAGCAAGATGCAACCCTAGACCTCCAGCTGTCCCCACGCAAATCCAGGGGGTATTGAGTTGGTTAAATAAAATAGACAAACCTCTAGCCAGCCTTAATATGAAGGAAAGAAAATACCTAAATCCACTCAATTGGAATGAAAAGGGGGAAATCACAATGGATCCTGTGAAAATCCTGAAGATCATTATTAATACAACTTTGAGAATTTGTACTCTAATAAGATGGAAAACAGAAGAAAATAGATTCCTAGATACATATGAATTACCAAAGCTGAATCGAGGATATAAAAATTCTAAGTAACTTGTAGCTTTTTGGGATTTTCAAGGGGAGCAATAAAATACAATACAAGACACATATTTTATGATTATTTTATAGCGAATCACCCAAAGAATCATATAACAAATGTGGAAAATTCTGTCTACACTAAAGACCAAAGAATCCAGCTGAAGGCCTGGATCCCATGGTTATATCCTCCAAAAATGAGGAAAGCCAAGTTCCCATCAGGAAAGCTGAGTTCTCACCAGGAAAGCCAGAGCAACAAGATTCTCCAGGAGACTAAGCTGTGCACCATCTTGTCCTCCAGAGCCAGGAAGTGATGCTCCAAGTGAGGACCAGAAATCCTGCAAAGTGAACTGTAGCCATTCTCAGTGACAACAAGGTCCTGAGCTCCTCTGACGACAAGGACAGCTGAATTCATCAGGGAAGTCAGCATGACAAGCTCCTCCAAGAGAACCAACAGCTCCGCAGAACCTCTCTACAACCTCTCTGGTTCTGCCTCTTACACTGCTGGCAACAATCCTCAAGTGGGCCTCTGCTGGCTCAGTTCAGCTGGGTGTTAGAAGCTGACCACCAGTTGTCAATCAACCACATAACCCAGTATCAGTCAATGAAACTGAAGAATTAAAAACTACCAACAAAGAAAAGCCCAGGTCCTGACAGATTCATTGCTGAACTCCACAAGAAAGTTAGAGATCTAATGTCTCTACTCTTCAAAATCTTTCATGAAACAGAAAGAGAAGCAATACTCCAAAACTAATTGCTGGAGGACTCTGATAGCAAAACCACAGAAGGAGCCAACAACAACAACAACAACAACAACAAATGAAACAAAAACAACAACAACAAAACCCAAACAAAACAAAACCAGTAAAAAAAGAAAACCGGGGTAATCTCCTTAATGAACACATATGTAAAAATCCTCAATAAGATACTGGAAGAGTATAACAAATCAAGATTATGCACCACGACGAAGTAGGATTCATCCAGTGATGTAGGGATAGTTCAGCATATATAAACCCACTAATGTAACATGCCATATCAACAGAGCCAAGGACAAAAAACACACAATAATCTCAATAGATGCAGAAAAAGCATGTGACAAAGTCCAATACCCATTCATGATAAAAACAAAACCTACAGAAAATTAGAAGATTTTTATCTCAATCTGATGGCATCTATGACAAACTCATAGCTAACATGATACTAACCAGATAAAAATGGAAAGTTTTCACTGTAAAATCAGGAACAAGACCAGGCTCCCCACTGTCACCACTCCTATTCAATATAGTTCTCGAAACATTAACCTGAGCAATTAGACAAGAACAAAGTTAAATTATTATTTGTGGATAACATGATACTCTATATAGACGACTCCCCAAATTCCACCAAGACTCCTAGAATTAATATCCAAATTCAGTAATAGGATACAAAGTCAATACTCAAAAATCAATGGCGTTCCTGTACACAAATAACAAACTGACTGACAGCAAAATTAGGGAAACAACTCCTTTCACACAGTATCATGACAGAGAAAGAGGGAGAGGGAGGGAGGGAGGGAGGGAGGGA